GATTTCCCAGATCCGTATCCGAACAGCACGTCTTTGTTTCCGAGGTCTTTGTTCCTGTCCAACACTTGTTCTAAAGTGGCTACCCGGTCTAGAATTGATCTTTGTGATGGAATTTGGATGAATTGAGGTTCGCCGGGTCTTGCGGTCTTCGCCCTCCACAAGGTGAGCACTGCTACCCTCTTCTCTCCATCACCTTCAAAGGATAGGTCACCTCTTGTTGACATTCCTTCCTTCCTCTTGGTTCTTGTTAGCTCGCCTATCCTCATCATGCCCCAAAAGGCTACTAGTGCGGTTGTTGAGATTACCTCTTCCAACTCTGACCTTCCTCCGAGCTTGCAAACTAGACCAATGAGTTCACGGACCTGAATCGGTTGTTTCACGTTAGAGTCTTTGTGGTCCTCCATGCTTCCCCCCAGGCGTTTCCGTTCTTCTGCTTGCTCCGTAGCTTGGATCAAGGCTTTGATCATCTTTTGGTTTAGGTCCGGGGGTTCTAGCTTGGTGGCCATTTGCCATGCGGTTAGGCCAGCGAGGTATTTCTCTATGGTTTTTGCCTTGACTGTCCTTTTGGCAGATAACTCCTTCTTGACATTCAATTCCCCGGCCCATACTATGAAGCCGTAGATGTTGTTGGCTTGTACGGGTATGGCCGGCTTCCATTCCCTTCCGACTTCCTCGATGAACTCCTTAAACTTTGCTACTGCGCTTGAGTAGCCCTGCATCGTCGTATCCGCCCATGAGCCGCTGACCATGTGCCGTGCTATCTGTTTAGTCTTATCGTTGGCGATTTCATCTTTGATCGTGGCAAAACTGGGCTTTCCTTTCATGGCCTTGGTTGCCTGTTGAAAGCTGTAGGAAAGCACGATATTTATATATATAAAGGGGTATGTATCAAGATTTGTTAGGAGGGAGGGAAAGTTGTACGGCAGATGCCTCTAGGTAGTCTTCAAGGTCTGCAGGTATGATGATTTGTAGACGGTCTTCGTCGTAGTTTTTGATTCTGATTCCCCTAGACAGGTTATCTGAGTCGTTGTCTAACAAGGTGACTCTCTTCTCCTCCAGATTGCGGTCTAGAATTGCCAGCCGTCTTTGTATCACCCTCCACTTGTTATTCACCGCGACATGTTTTGACTTGAGGTTTCGCACTACTCCTTCAGTGGTAGTATTATCTGTTAGGAACAGAAAATGTTTTCCTTGTACGTTGGTCAGCTGGACCATCATCTTGAGACCTAGCCATACCGCCACTGTTTCGGCCCAAGCAATGTCTTGCTTCACACTGAGTGAGTCTGTTTGATCTCAACCACTCTTTAGCCTCCACTGGGCCCAGCGGTTCCCGATTTTTACACCGATTCCGTGATTGGTTGCTGCGTCTCCAACCCGGCCCATGTCGATCGATCCCATTTTTGGTAGCAGTTTTAGGTTGGTGAATTCTTGTAGTACCCTTTTCCATTCCCACAGATCGTCTGTTCCATCTTTTGGCATGCTTCTCGGGGCGCACTTCTCTTTCCACCTTTCCATCCAGTGGTCTATGTTTGTAAAGAAGCATCTCATTTGGGGTAATATATTTGTGAGGTGAGAAAGTCTTCCTCTCAATTTTTCCACTTCTTTAAAGTTGTGTGGTCCGCTATTTGTTATGGCTTCATCCACCTTTTGTCTCCTCATTTCTATTTTTTCCTCCGGTGTTCTTACTGTTTTGTTCTTTCCGTTCCAGATAAAACCAATGTATTTCTGCTTGGTTGTGAATTTGGCATATTTACCCTTGTTGGTTTTTGCTCCGAGTTCCGCGCTTAGTTGTACAACATCCTTCATGGTCGTTTTGTTACCGCTGGCGACGCTCTTTATGAAGAGATTGTTGTCAACCCATCGGAAGACCATCTCGAAACCGAAATGTAACTGCATCATGTCCTTCCAGGCGTCTGCGGGCCCTCCGAAGCTACCGCAACCCGCCACGCCTCCAAACGAGACTCGTGTGTCCAGGATTATTGAACCCTCGTTTGTTCTTATCATTAGGAACTTCCATTGACTAGGGTGGGTGTGTATTTGGCGGTACGCCTTTTCCCAATCAAAAATCCCTAGGAGTAGTTCTCCTGTCGAGTTGGCAAAAAACAGTGCCACCCTTGCAAAGTCGTCCCAGGTAGTTTTGAACTCGTTCTTGTCAATGAAGGAGTTTACTGACAGCAAATCTCCTTCGTACTTTGGGTAGGACTAATTGTTGATTATATGTTTGGTCCCGTCTCCGTTTGTGACTACTCCCATCGGGCTGGTTCTGAAAAACCATACTCTTTCCAAGACTTCCTCTTCCGTGAAAGGGCCCCTCATCCGTCCTGTGGTGAGTTCTTTCTGTAGTTTTTCAATGATTACTTTGTTGCCCTCTTTCAATCTGTTGTGGTTGATTGGTGAGTAGAATCTTAGGTTTTCCGGGACGTGCTCCGGTATTCCTTGGTTGAACCCGTTGCGGAATCCATCCATTATCTTACTGTGTTTCTCCAGTAAGTCTAGTTCTTTCAGTCTCCTTTACCATTCGTCGAGGTTCATCTCGCATTCGACTGAGGATGGCCACTCCTTGTTTGGTATTAGAATAGGGGTTACTTCAACACCTGGGTTTGACAACAATCGTTTCCCGTTAGTTTGTTTTCCTTCCCCGCTCTCTCATGTTGGTTTTTGAATCTCGCATCTATGGCTCACCTTTCCTGTTAGGTTCCGACATCGTATGTCTGGATCTGTCTTCTTGGACACAAATCTCCGGTGATGGGTCCTTCTGCGGTAAATCCCGTTGATGGGGTTGTTCTTCACTCGCTTGATTGCTGTAGGTTTGGATGGAAATGGGAACAGGCATTTGGGACATTTGTAAGTTTCATTTAATTTCTGGGGCTTTATGATTCATGGAAAGACTTTGTTTTAGATTGTCTTTTGACTACGTCTACTAGTAGGTCGCTGTCAGGAGATACTTTCCTACCTTTGTGGACAGCGCTTGTATCAACATAGGTAGTGAAGCATATAGACACATGTGCTTATAGGAGATAAAAGAGGAGGGGGATGACATCTGAATTGTAGTGGAGCGGAAACCGGGTCTACAATCTGTAACAATCGGGCAAGAAGAAAAAAGGGGGTATTTAACAACGTGAATACAAATAATGTCTTACTAGGTCTGTTTTCCTCCACTGTTTTGTCTATTTACTATAGCTAATGCACCGCTCTGTCCGCCTCCACCCGTTTTGGGTACTATTGCTAGTTGACTTTGCGGTTCACTAGGGCCTGCTATGGCACTACTTTGGTTATAGGCCGGCTGGAAAGTATGTCTGTACATGTTACTGCTTGCGTACGGGACCCTGGGCTGGAAAGTGAATGTGGAGGACGGATAGTTGTTGTTATAAGGGGGATTGTTCTGATTTCGGCTAAAGTACTGGCCCGTTGTAGTATTTAAAGCTCAACAAGAGCTTTACAACACCTAAGAAGGGATAATCTACTACGTGTAATATAGTAGAAGTTGCCTAAAGACTGCCTTCTTCAAAGAAACCAGCACAAGTGCACTTGCTGACCACTTTGTGATAACAGAGAAATAGATAAGGCACCAGAGAAAATAAAGCAATACTGTTGTGTAGTATTATTCCCAGTTTTTAAGCACAAAAAGTCACACACTATGTTATTACTAGCAATACTGTTGTAAGTATTATTCCCAATTTGACTTGTAGTCTTTAACACACGTAAATAAATTTCTCCTTGCTTTGAAGGGGTGGATTTAAGTGATCTTAGTACAAATATAGTAAATAAATGATGATTTATAACACTACAACAAAGGTATAAGATGCAGAAAAGTGGTGCTACAATCCTAAAATCATCAAGGAGTACTTATATCCACATGTAACAACCTCTACAACAGTCAACAGCCTCAAAAACCAATCAAATCCGCCTAAATAACCTTAAAAACCATGTAATGACGCAATGTAATGATCTTATTACTAATGTATGATGTAATTTTCACAGCAAAAAGTGATCAATGACGCAATAATATGATGTACAGCACTTCTTAAGATGAATACAGGTGATTTTTTCCTTGTAAACTAGCTGAAACCCAATTTTTGAGATTACGAATTTTTTCAGATGTGCTCCAATTTTTGATTACTAAATTGCATCTTGTAGCCCACGTGTTACTGATCATTTCTGACACCTATATGACCTACTTCTGATGAGTGATGAGTAAGATATTGAGTTGTGAAGTTACGGTTTTTGGTGTTACATGTTGACTTGTGACTGTAAATTCGAGATTCACACCAATTTCTTATTTGCCTTATAACTTTTTACATACACCTCCGTTACTAATGATTTAAAGGTTGTACATTATGTAATTCACTCTTCTGCGTTGAATGAGCTATCTACCAACTTGATATGACGTTATTTGACATATGTAATTAGCTGAAAACCTTCATTTTCCACGAAATTCACCCATTTTCTTCACTTTTCACAGCTGCTACTCTCTTTTTCTTGCTCATGTAATATGACATCATCTTCTATAACCTTAAAAATCCCGGAAAATCCTCTTGGCAACCTTAATTTCCACTACTACCACCATTACATATGTAAACTACACGCATAACCCTTGTTTACCAACTTCGAAAAAGTACCTTTCTGCTAATAACTTCTGTTTTCCCTTATCAACCTGGAAGATTAACATTGTTACTGTATAATAAACTGTTGTTCTTTCACATTCTAACCTCATAAAACCCATAACTTAATTATAAATAAGCTAAAAACCATTTTCCAATTTTTACACCTATATTTTCGAATTTTTCTTGCTAGAGAACTCGCGGGCAGGCCCGCAACAGTTTTACAGGTTTCTCATAGTCATGTACTCAAATTATGAAGAACCTGTATAGTGTTGAGGTGTTACTTTCAACACCCACCGCTCAAGTGACAGCGGCTACAAATAAATCAATTACAACCAACTAATGTTCTTTCCAATTCCTAAGAAAAACAACAACTATACAGTACTAAAAGTCTTGTATTTACAAATCGCTTTTGTGAACCAAGTGTACTAATCCTGGGAAGCAAACCATTCCTGCTTCCAGGTCTGTAAAAAACTCCACCACTTTCACAAACTCCTCCCGGTCCATATCCTTGACTATCATGCGTTTTGACCCCCGAGTGTAGTGTGGTAGTCTTGAGGCCATATCCACGAGTGCCACGAAATCTCTCATGCCTGTTACAAACAATCTGGAAACATTTCACTTGAGCATATACCAATTTGACGTGCGAGGTGAATTCGCTAGTGAGGACTCACGTTTCCCAGTCTTCATTTTCTCTGTCATATCCGTTTGGCCCCACGTGGTTCATTTGATTAATATCAACCGGTATGTGATTCCTCTCATTCCGACAAATCGTCTGGTGAACTGTAGCACGGCGTCTATGCCATAGCTTGATCCTCAATTCAGTCACACCACTTAGGCCTTGATTACTTCTTCTATGACAGTCGAAGTATCCTGTGATATTCGTTGCTTCGGTCTGATTTACTCCCTTGATAGATAACTTTGTGATGTTCATGGTTTCAGTTGGGCACCTTCCAGCGTAGTGCAACAAACATAAGAACCCTCTGAAACCACGAACGAAGTATTTTGCATCGGACCCTCGCAATCTGTAAGTCAACTTGTTAGTTTTTAACAATCACCGATGAGTTTAACGACGTACAACAGTTCCGGGGTCACGTTACTTCCTTTCTCCACGTAGTGGTGACTCGTCATGTTTCGAACACCGCCTCGCGGCCCAAAGTCGAATTTCATTTGAGTTATTCGCATTCGAGAGTTGTTGTTAACCATCTTCAGTTGTCGCGGTACTAATAGTTGGTTTTGGCTGAGGATCCTGGTCAGTAGCAGGCGCGAAAAATAAATAGTGAAAATAGTTTTCTAATTTAAAAAGTTGTAGAACTCTCTGGGCCAAGTCAATAATGATGTAGGTAGGAGGAATGATTTACTGAGCTTTGTAAATTTGTAGGTTGCTGTTGACAAACAACGCTTTATTTATGCGTTGATGACGGCTCCATTCTGAACTCGGACTCCTCGCGATTAACCATTCCGGCAGGTGCTTTTGAAATTTTTGCCATAAACAACTCATGCATGGCAGAGGTGTCTCTTAAACGCTCGAAAGCGTAGATCTTTTTTACAATCACACAATAACCTACCATTCAAAGGAAGAAAAGCATCTTTTCTATTGTATAAAGTAGGCCATTCCCGCCGCGTATTTGTTTGCCTAGTCCCAGTGACCCAAAGATACATTCAGGACTTGACACCTTTTGTCTCTTTCTCCTCAAATAGCAATTTTCTCGTTCTCGTGAGTGAATAAATTTTAAGCTATTTCAATGAGTTCGCCTTCGGTTGTAATTCATCTCTTCGTTATCAGTTTTGCCAGACAATTCAACACCAAAAAATTGTCACTTATTCCTCTCAATCGCACTCACTTCGATCCTTCAAAATAAACCCAAAGCCGGTTACAATTGCGACCTCATGCCTCAACCAGGTGTACCCGACATGGTGTTAAGTCAAATCAAAGCCGACATAGACCGTAGTAAGTTCATGACATTGGGTAGCTCACTTCTTAAACAACACTAATTAGGTTTCTTAGCTGTGCCGGTTCAAAATAGGCCTCAAGTTCTGAACGGCTCTTGTTATAACTCGGACACTGGAGATTCTTATTCCTTCAGGGCGTATGTACCTACCGTCGGACAACCTCGCATCACACTCATGTCAACCACGCCTCAAAGAGTGAATGATACGCTCCCATAGCTCTAACCTGCTCTAACACCATCAAACTCAATAAATTTACAAGTTTAAAATTAGCTTCTTAATCTCTTTTTGTAATCCGTTTCTCCATTTCTTGCCATTTTGTTTTCCTCTCATGTCTCCCTCCCTGGCCAACCAGTTGCGATGTCACATCAACTGAAACTTTTCCTATAGTATACTCGTTTGACAACTAATAGTTTGCAACCCTCCCTGGTAAAAGTAATCACTGTGGCTTTGTTTAATATTGTTTGATTCCTAAGATCTCGTGGCGAGACTTTGTCATTTAGTTACTCTCCTCAACAATATAAGCAAAAAACCTACCTAATTATCGAGTATTACCCTTGCACCATTCAATATTCACGCATGTTTTTCACCTTTCCTAACTTGTCACTTCGAAACACATATGAAAAGACAACTTAAGGTACCCCATTTCACTTGCAAACATTGCCAGAAGACGTCTTCTTTTTGAAGACGTTCCCTTGCCACACCTCACCGCCTGATACGTCAACAATTCAGGTATATTACAGGCTATAATGATCTAATTTACAACAAACGTCACTTGTTTACGGACTATGCACAAGAGATTTTACAATTAACTGAATAATGAACCAACTAATTGCAAAGACAAAAGGAAATTTGCCATACGTCGTCTACGCGTGTAGAAATTCGCGTATCCTAACCAATTCAACGTTAGCTTCCCGCCCAAACTTAAAGCATTCATAACGCGGGAACCACTTACCCATGTTCGTCTCATACGCAGACTATCAACTGTCTAAAGCACACTTTAATACAACATTTTTGGTTAAAGGAGACTTTTCGGATGTTCCCACAGACACCTGAACCTGATCCTTTGATTTACATCTAGACAAAGCCACATACAATTGACCGTGGGAAAAAACAGGATTTGGCAATAACACGCCCACCTTGTCTAAACTTTGTCCTTGTGACTTGTTGATGGATAGACAAAAGGCTTCTGCAATGGGGAATTGTTTTCTCGTGAACTTCACCGCCAAATTAGCATCCGGTTCGTGAGTTAGACGAATTCGCGGTAGCATTATTGGCTGTCCTTGCCTTGGTCCCGATATAATTTGACAGTTTAACACTTCGTCTTGAAAATCAGTGATCACCAATCTGGTCCCGTTGCATAAACCATTCGCAACATTTAAATTTCGCAACAGGATGATTGGCAATCCGCGACGTAAGGTTATCTTGTGGTCGGGAAAGTTCGCGCAACGAAAACTGTTCAAGTATTCAACCCCAATTGGCTCAAAACTATCATGATCGATTGTGTCCAATGAAATCGCGATTTTGGTCTGTCCACCAATTTGTTCACTTAAGAGACGATTCACTTGACGGACTGTTTTGTTCAGTGGCGTTATTAGCATTCGTTCCGAGTAATAGCAGCCTAGTTCTTCCCATTTTCCACCTCTAACTAACTGGCTGACATCTTTATATAGCCAGTTGATCGTATTTAAATCAAGTTCAACACCAGGGGACGTTAGGTTAACTTGGATATGTTTCAGTTCCACCACTTCCTCGTCCAACTGTTGCAATTGTCCAGAACCTAGATTCAACAACCACTCGGCAAAGTCTTTGGTCCCGGTATTAGCCTTAGACCCACGACCCAATAACCTGAGATTACGCGTAAGCTTTAATTTATGGATGCACTGCCACAGAGTCGTAGATTTAATCGAAGCTTCAAATTGTGATTGCAAATTACCCCCGGGTACTATCGGCAGTGTCTGCCTGAAGTCACCCGAAAATACCACCGATATCCCACCAAAAGGTCTTGAGTCTTGGCGTAAATGACGAAGGCTACGGTCAACACAGTTGATACAGTCCTTATGTTGTGTTGCAATCTTGTCCCACACAATCAAGGCTGTCTTTTTTAACCTCTTGCTAAACTCGTCTCTCCCAGAAAGACTACAAACAGATTTCGCGTTACTCTTGAAAAGAATTTTGAACGCGTAATGTGCAGTTCTACCATTCCAAAGAAGCTGCGCAGCCACCCCAGCAGATGCTACCGCCACTGTACTTCTATTTTGACTCTCAAAGTGGTGAAGTATTGTGTTCAAAAGGTAAGTTTTACCTGTGCCTCCAGGCCCATCCACATAACACAGAACTTGCTTCTCCTTTTCCGCTCCATTTACAACATGATTGAATATCTTAAGTTGTTCTTTGTTTAACAGCGGTAGGTGGTCTTTAACAAACTCCTTATGCGAATCCAGTAATAATTGTTGTTGAGCCTCCGCGTTTTCTGCCGCCCGGAGTATGTTGCAGAGAACAACTTCATCGTATGGTACAAGATTTAGCGAATTCCAATGCCCACCCATCCTCTCTACGTCGGTCTTGATCAAGTACAAACCGTACACCATGATATCGTCTTCCGTTATTTCGCCTTCGTATCCATTCTGCCGTATTCGAAAGGTACAATCATCGGTCAGACTAAATCTGTGACTGTCCCACAACTTCTGGGGATCGGATGGCGAGTTATGAACTAAGATCAAAGCGAACAATTCCCGTAGGTAGTGACCGGTCATCCAAAAAGATGCTTCCCTGAGACAATAATCGTAGTGTTTGTCTGATTCCAGCAAGCCTAGCTCGTTTGCGGCATCTCAAAAGTTGTTGAATACTACACCGTCAATAGTTCTCAGATCTAGAAAAGATTTTGCGCCCTTGACATTGGCGAGGAGTACCCTTAGAAAAAAGTGCTCGCCTTCTTTTGGTCCAGCATGCGACATTCTACTTCCACATTCGATATGGTTAATGCGCCTCGTCCATTTTTTGGACGCCCAAACAAAGTAGTCTGGAATTTGTTCATAAAGTAGAGACTTTGCCTTTACACCGTCCAAGCCAGTCGCATCTTCCCTATTTAACTTAAAGTACTCGGTTAACGTCGTTTTATTCACATCTCCTTGTGTCACCTGATCTTCTGCGTCCCCATCGTCCCAGAAATAGACATCTTGCTCGTCAGGTAGGTGTATCAATAAGGCGTAAACCGCAGGGGAACGGCCGTTCATTTCGTACTGAAATAAACACCACGCAGCTGGTATGGAGCGTCAGTAATTGAACATGATTTCAACATAAGTACAAAAGCTAACCTTCTACGGGCCCAATATAACGTCCATCCACGAAATCAGCTACCTCATTCCTTCCCTTGACCTTTTTTCTCCCGCTTGCACAAGCATCGTGTTGCTCATCTAAGCCATGAATGTCGCCGGCCTCTAGGTCTTCGGCTTCTCGCATTTGTAGTGTAGTACGATCATGTCCCTTCGCTACATATTTGTAAATGTATTTATATCCGACAATACCTTGAGCGATCTCGACGTTAAAATGACACTGATATTTTAAAAGGAGGAATCTGTTATAAGGTACTACGTGCTGATTTGTGAAGGTGAAACCATGTTTGATAAATACTCTTCCGTCGTTTCTTCGCCGATATAGTGGATAAGCGTTTTCTTGGAGGGTGGTTTGTGCTTGAAAAGCCTTTGGAAACTTCTTTTGGCATTTCTGTTTCTCCTTGTTCCAACAAGGGCTCTTGTAGCCTGGCCCACACGGTCCATGCAACATAGAATTAGTAACCAAAGTAAATAACAAGGCCTCTTCCTTTGGATCGGGTAGTTCCGCGCACACCAAATCGTCCACATCATCTGCGCACGTTGGTGTATACTCTGATTTTAAGATAAGAACTATGTGCGCGTGAGGTAGGCCTCTCTTTTGAAACTCTATAACATAAACCCAAGAAGCGACAACCCCTAATCTATTGTGGACCGTTAAATCCTCCATTACCTCTGTTAGTTTCATTTTGAAGACTCTTGCGACAATATCCGGTCTATCTGATGACGTTTCGTCGTACTTCAATTCCCTCTGAATCTCTGGCCACTGTGGATTTCCGGTCATAGTTAGAAATAAAGAAGGCTTGCCATATCTTCGACTTAAAGCAATAGAATCTTGATAAAGCGCTCTCATATTCCGTGGCCCGCCCTTGAACGATGCGGGTAGCACAACTTGTCTACCAACTACTTCTCTTTCTTCATCCAAGTCGGAGATAATGTGTTTGTACTTCTCAGCTTTCATCTTGTTTTGGTTTAATTCAAAGTAACACAGTCTTCCTCGCTCGACACAAAGATACAGATCCACTATTAGCTCCTGGAGTAAACTTCGACAGTGTAGAAGTGGTGAAAAGGTATCCCGGCGTTCAAATAAGAGCCAAGCGAACCATTGTAGCGAAGAAACACGCTTGTCCGAAACTGTCAGGCAGTGGAATTAGCTTGGATAATCACCAATCGAATAAATATTAGTACATACCTTGGTCGCTCTCCTCTTTGTGTTTCCTCTTTTCCAGAGGCAGTAGTAATTTATAATCTTCTGACCACTGCTGTGCACCTTCAGGGAAACAAATTACATATCTCATGGGTAGATACCCCGTATGCATGTTGTTGATAGGTTCTAACCTCCCGTCTTGTCGTTTTAAAACCAGTCTCCTTTTGTTGCCATCGATTTCTCCATCCCCTGGAACCACCATACCAATTTCATCCACGGCCGGCAAGTTGTATCGTTTTAAATCCTTTCTACCGCTAGGTTTAACTGACTTAATGACAATTTTTGCTTTATCATCCTTTCCTAATATTTCATTTGCGTTTTTAAATAAATGTGCATATGGGCTTCGATCGTTGATTGCTGCTTGCAACTTAATGAGTAAGTCTGAGTCCAGTTGATTGTCATAATGATGTTGACGCATGGCCGCTTCAACCGTCCCACCGTCACCGACCGTGTAAATTTGGGCGAAGCAAGGATCGTCACCCTTTGAAGGAAGTCCAGAACCTGCGTAATGGACCAATTGCCCATTAACACGAAAGTTGTAGACCCCTTTTGGCCCCCGGACAGACATATTGTGTTTAATCCACATTGAAGTAAATGATAGGCAATTGTTATAATCCCTTATTCGTTTTCGCGCTTGAATGGCACCTGTGTTTCGAGCCAACTGATTAGTTCTAAGTCAACTTCTCTGCCAGCAGGGACTTACGCTCATCTGGTGAAGTTAAGAGCCACAAGATAATTTCGGGTGGTGGCGGCTGCGGAAAGTAGAAAGTTGGAAGCATCACTTGACCGACTTTGCAACAGTTAGAGTACGTGTCATCATTTTTCTTTTGACGCCCCTTAGTTCTTTCCTTCCCCCACCGAAGAGCCTTACAGTTTTTACATATTCAATCACAATGACCGATGTGAGTTTTTTTTATATAAGATTTGCTGATTTATACGATTTGATTAAGAATGCTGGTATGGAAGAGGTTTAACACTCTTCCTCCTTCGCCATCAACATTTCGTAATTTGCTTATTTCCATAATTGTCAATATCGTCCTGCCTCTGCTTTTGAGGAGAATTCACGAACTACCTTTTCTATCCCTCTCGCAATATGTTTGGCGCGCTTTTATGTCGTTCACTCTTGGTGAAGACCGGTTTGCTTTACCCCAGCATGCTAACAATGGTTTCATTTTTTTAATTTCTGATGCGACGCGTCACATACCCTGTGATTTCCAAATTTATGGGATTCTGTAAAAACCTGTTTAACATTGATTCAAAAGCAGGCAATGTTTCAACATGTTGAAATCATTTGACAGGCAGTTTTTCAAAAGTACACAATATGAAGTAAAAACAATAAGTATGAAAACCCTCGGAACAACCTTCCATTAATTCAGGGTGTGATCGATGGCATCGATCATCTGTAAGTGCGAAAAATCGCAAAAACCAATTACAGCCATTGACGAAGGTTGAATGTTTGGTAACATAGGTAGTACCCGAATATCATAGTTAAAAATAAAAACATCCACACCTGAAAAAAGAGTCAATACCCAGGATAAGAGGAGAAACGCAAAATGAACTAACGATCAGGATGGGGAATAACATGTCCCGACTCAAGTCGAAAAGCCAAACACCTCGCCTCTGTAGTACCAAAGTCCCGAATGTGAAATACGAAATTTCCCACTGAATGCATGAACAAGGTAATCCCAGATGGAAACAAAACAAGTTTATTCGGTGGTGTATCTACCGGATTATCGTAAGTGAATCGACCAACAATTCACAAGAAAAAGGACTCACAAACTCTGAAATGTGTGTGAACCGTATTAAAAAAGTGTTGATTTTGAAAGTATCTGTTGCCAAGAACTTACGTTTGGAATACAGGCATGTTGATACACTTGGTCTAAAGATGAGTGAAATAAAAAGTTGTTAAGTGAGTTCATAGTCTTCTCAGTTGACTTTCAGTCAATAACAAAAAGTACGACGTTATACTTACTTAATTCGAACAGCTGCCTAATTAGGCTGTATATACTGTTGGTCTATTGTCATTGTGCATTACGATATAAAATTGACAAAGACAACTGTGCCGATACAAAGCGTAGCTGATGAAAAGTATTTCAGAGTTATAACCTGCCTTGTTTTACCCACGAATAAAGCAACTTTTGTGTTTCGAAGTCAAGTGGCGGTTTTGTTACCATATTACCCTATTCACTACTTAGCCTGGGCGTTATGCTTTTTGATGGAAAGTATGGTAGTTCGGTTCCCTGCTTTTTCATTGGCGACATTCATATTTATAAAATACGGTCTTCCTAATCCGTTGGTCTAGCGGAGGCTTGCGCTTTTTGCTCAGCAATATGAAAGAACACTCCCGCGTCATTCAAGATTATATAGTAAGGGTTCACCTCCTCAATCGAAGCCAGTCTCCGCCACACATCAATTTAGAACCTCAGCGTCCTCAACTTATTAATACAATACCCCAGCACAACAGACCTTTCCAGACTTCAACCAATGGACTTCGAAATGCCGGAACATGTGTTGATGATTATTAACAATTTCTTGGCCCAAAGTAAGCTCATACAGTTAGCTCGCAACATGGACCTCACTAACTCACTTTTAGTTCTCGAACCGCAGGATGCACCATGTGCAGTGACCGGCTCCTATTGGGAATCAGTTAAAGATTTATTGTACTGTTTTCGCGCACACATTCCTCTTCAAGGCCTTGCGGTCGTCAACCTTGTCTTTGTTAGGCCGGTCGCGGAAATACCTGAATCTCTCCTACAACAACTTCAATTGCCTCACTTGTACTCTACCCCTACACTTTTCTCTTTGATACGCGCGTAACTTACAGCGTCTGTGTCCGACATGGTTTGCTTCTGTGAAATTATCGTGAAATTGAAATTTCTCGTCTCCATAAAGCGTAATCGTGAGTTGTACTGCATGTCGCTGTTTGGTATATTGACATATGGAAACGACCACAACATGTCCCATTATGCTTCAAGTGGCGCATAGTGAAGTCCGCGCTCTTAATAAACTCTTTAAGTACGGTGTTTCCACATACTGGCTTGCGTGGTTAGTTCTTAAACCATGTTGGCTGGGTTTAACAACTTGCCTGGAGTAAGTCTTGATTGATAAAACGAATGTAGTCACACTTCAATCCGCGTTTCTTTATGGCGTTGCCATCTATGTATTTTTGCGTGGATCTGTTTTGTGCCTCACATGTAAATGAGTTAGTCAGGTAGCTTATCTCTAGGTACGGAATCTCCCATGTGCCTACCCTATGGTTTTATATAGGACCCATGGTAAGCTGCGCTGGCATTAGAATCGCGTTGGTAATTCACGCCATCCTAAAAGTGAAGAGCACTATTTGTACACGGGGTAATACATTAAATCAATTAATTATTCTTTCGTTTACTGGCGTACGCTGAATGTGCGTCAACATTTTCAAAGTTCATTAGTTACTTGGTAGTTTTCAAATACATTATTCTGTGGTAATCCCATCACGAAGCAAGTCATCACAATTAACGTTATCACAAATTGACCATGCTCATTAACAAAGAATCAGGGCAGGCCAAGAAGTGTCATTCGAGTTGCAATGTATTTATGCTATGGATGGTGTTCAGAGACGATGCATAAGCACCGGAAACGGCAACAACAAATAGGACAATAGTACGTCGAACTGTACACCAATCAACTCAAGGAGACTATATACAAATAGACACAACGAAGCTCGGGCACCAAACCGAAAAAAAAAGTCACTCCACCGAGATACAAAACTGGCAGGGGCAAAGGAGATGAAACACCCAACTCCCGAGCGCAGTGAGCGTAGGGCCAGGATGGGAAGGACACAAAGGGGGACTACGAAAAAAATGACCTGTATGAACAAGGCTTCTAGCTAGACTCCTGTCAAATCATTTCTTGGCTTTCTTAGGTCCCTTTCCGGTGCCTGATTCCTCAAGACCGTCGGTAGTTAGTGGGTGTTTAGGAACTTGGGAATCAATTTTGCTCTTCTTGAAACTATAAAGTAAAGTTGTAGTCAATAATTGGTCAAGTTGCAATGTATAAATATGAGAACACCTACAATTTACCCCTGGCACGACCCGACGGGGTTTGTACAGTATCTTCTGTCTTGATTGTAGATGAGGAAGATTTGACCGTTTCGCGACCCACGGTCAGATTAATACCGGTCACCTAAAAAGATAAGGGCGGATCAGTGATCAGAATGCGGAAAACTTCTTAAACAAATTCCACTGACATCGCAGATAAAACAATTATTTTCAGCGTCGTAGTCCACAATGTAGGCAGTAATTACCGCTTCTCTGTCGACTTGAAAGAGAGTTTGAATGGAAAGCAGATTTCTAACAGGTCGAACGTAGTAGGCGACTTTAAATGAAACCATTTCTTTCGCCTGTGCAACAACAGTTAGTCCTAAGGATAGACTGGTTGGGGAAGAAGATCAAACATACAGCGTTGTCATAATCACAGTGTTCAGCAATGGCAACTACGGTTGGTTTGTCGTAGGAGTCCTCTTGGATGGTGTACCTGTCCACAATTAAGCCGAGACCGGAAACCGCTGTATTATCCGCGAGGGAACCTTTAACATCCTTGGAGGTAGTAACGAGCATAGCATGATCTGCTTCGTAGTAAAGTGAGGGAACTGATTCCTCCTTGTTAGGAGCGATCATTCTCGACTTCATTATGTAGACACCATCCGTTTGAAGTAGGCTTGACTCGTTGGGGTAAGCGGACAATTTAACCTGGTACTCGTAGGCGTTGGTACCGTTAAGACCTTTACACACGATGGATGCGTGAGCATCTCGTAAAGGATAGGTTGAGTTGCTCGTTGTGGATAACTGGCACAGATATGAAGATGAAGTCAGGAAAAATGAATAGGTAGAAGAAGAGATGACGTACTACTTCGTAAACATCCATAGGCCCGGAGACATTTAGAGTGCGAGCTTTAGCCTTAGTAGAAGGCGTTGTACTACTGGCCATGGTGCCGACTGGATTTTTACTCTGGGGCACAAAGGAAGAATCAAGTGACAAGATAGGTTGAGAAAAAGACAGGGAATAAGCAGGGTGGTATGACAAACAAGGAGCCCCACAAGAAACGACGGTATCAACGGTGGTGACACAGTAGGAGGATGTCGGGGTAAAAAATTTGCACGCAGGAAGATGAGAGTGTTGTTTGTGTTAGTGTGAATGTAGAGTACGAAGAATGGGTGTTGCTATAGTATGTGTGATGACAGGCAAGGTGTATAAAAAATCCTCACTAATCATATCGGAAAATAGACGCCTTATATAGAGAAAATGTTGACGTGTGGTAGAAGGCAGAAGGACCACGGGTGGTAATTGAGAAAAGCACATTGATCGAAGTATCGACTTTTAAACAAATAAAAGTACCAAAGTTTAATGACAGGGTGGAAGTGGAAAGCAGCCAGAGCGATGAGGCGAAGCGTAAGATGGAAATTGGCCTATGTGAGTAAAAGCACACAAACAAATCGACAGGGAAAAAGGAGAACAATAGCGACAGACAGCCACTCTGAAAAGGAAGCCATAACGAACACACGAGGAGACGCATAAGAGAGAAAGCACCTTGTGTGGTAAATGCAGAGTAACAAAACGAAACAGCAACAGCAGAACAATAGGGAGAGATAAGCCCCTTCAAAAAGGAAGCCATAACGAACACATGAAAAGCAAGGCATAACAAACACATGAAGGAGAGCAGGGATTAGAAAAAGGTCAGAGGACAAAGAAGAAACGGCACAGAAAAGGAAAAGGGAAGAAGAAAAGCAAGGCGGGGCAAGAAGAACCGATCTCAAGTGGGGGTAAGAACCGCGGTGAACGGTACTTAATGCGAGTTGATTCGACGTATTTATATTTTAGATCTTTTATTTTTCTCTCTTTTTGTAATAACTTTGTAAGTAAACTATGTTGATCTTAAGAATAATTTTGAAATGAGATGACATAATATTGAGCTAATAAGTATACATAAGCCTCTAAGAGCTTCAATTGATCTGAAAACCTGAATTTCAAATTTCCTGTCACACTGAAGTTTTCTAATAACTTGATAAAGTAAAGATGATTAATTTTCTTGCTTGATATCATAAATAGATCACCACACCGTGGTTTGGCTTTGATTGTGGGTGAATCCGTCTGCACCACCACTATAGTCTGTCTTCCAGTTTTTCTTGTTACTGTTACCTCGATCAAAATGTTTCTTCTTATTATTGTTGTTATTGTTGTTTTGCCTGCTCTTAGAACCGCCTTTCCAACCGTTGCTGTCTTGGTTTGATGCGGAGGTCTCGCTCTTCACTAGCTGTTTTCCCCCGAAGGGTGACGATTTGGCCTCCACGGTTGCAGTTGTGTATGGGTTTTTGGCGTAGCTACGCTCTCCGCATGCTTCGGCCTTGTCTTTGGCCGCTCTGAGGATATCTTGATGTAAGATACCCGCATTGTTCATTTGCCTTTTTCCGCCTTTAGTTCTGTTCTGCATTACTAACTTTCTTACTTTGATGCAGTATTGCAGAGCGATCATCCAACAGGACGTGGATGTTCTGATGTCTATCACATTTGCTTTATGTTTTCTAAACATTTCGGCTGTTTTCTTCATGTGGTAAAATTCGTTGATATACCTGATGAATAAATCCATGCAGTCCATCCAGTCGCCGTAGCACAGCAGTAGCTCTTCTTTTGGGAATAGACCTGAGTAAGTTGGTACATTGTTGCCTTCCTGCAGTTCCTTTATGCTCTTGACCTTCTTCAGACCGGCTTTCTCAACGTCTCTATCAATCCAATCTGGATTGAAAACAGTCAGCGGGACGTATGCCGTTAATTTAGTCATCCTCTGATGTAGACTATTGGATAATTTGAGCAGTGATTATTTGACAGTTCTTGGTCGTCGACAAAGGTGATCTCTTTTTTGGGGTCTGACATGCATTCATTTTCTGATGAGTCTTCCGCCGGTAGCTCTTTCTTTCTAGTTTTTGCTGAGCTGCTAGTTGTGTCTCTTCTAGCAGAGATCATTGGTTCGCTCAGGAGATTTTTTGTGGTTTTTGGCCTTGCAGCGTCTCCCGTTCCAGGTGAGTGCCCCCGTTTGCGGTTGGGGGTCAGCCTTGTATCTTCGTCTAGGACTAGAGATGCTGTGCGTGGTCTTCTTTCACGCTTCCGTCCTTGTTCTTCTGTAAACTCTGGCTGTCTGCCTCTGTTTGGTTCGGGATTGAAAGGGATTTCACCGTACATGGCTTCAAACGCCAACAACATCGTTCTGCCTAGCATGTGGTCGCCGTCTTTGAATGTTTTCACAATTGTTCTCCACCAGCTATTACGGCTTTCATTATGAGCATCTGCGTGGTTGGACGGTACGACACTTGTCAGTTCATGATCTTTTTCTCATGTGTCTACTTGTTTGTTGAAATTTTTCCATAATAAAACTCTGCTTCAGCCCGGGTGGACACTTTGACACTCTTTTTCCGCTACACAGACTGGGAATTTTTTGATCCGCTACGTGGATGGGGACTTTTGGCATCACACCTATTCTTTTGCAGATGGACACCTCAACATCCCGTTATTCTGCGTATGGTACTACAATTCTCTGATTTGCATGGTGGACACCTCTACACCTGTACCTCCTCTTTGATTTGCGATGGACACTTCTACATCGACTTCTGCCTTTGTGATGATGGACACTTCAACATTGATCACGGCGACACCTTCCCACGGTGTAACAATTACTGATTGTTTGAGGAATGATATCTGGGGTAGAGTGTGGAGGTTGTGGGGATATATGGGCGCGATGGGTTATTTGGGTTAACTATACAGTTTTTGTCGGAACGGTTTTTGTCGGAAGGATTGGCATGTGTCTAGGGATTTTTTATGTATGGGAAGAAAGTGAAGAACATTTGGATTTTGGGAGTCTTCTGGTGGAATGGAATTGGTAGGTGGACAAAGCTTCTGGGAAACAGTGTCGGATGAGAGGATTGACTACAAGGAGCCTCTGTCTTACCTTGTCTAGGATCTCTGGCGGCGTTAATTATTGGTAACCCACTCTGCTGGTCCTCTTCCTCTGGGGACTCCCTAGGTTCACGCAGTCTTCCAATCATGGCAGGTGGTTCATTTCCGGTGTGCGTAGGATCTTTGTCTCTTTCATCTTTGACGTACTCGATTTCGTTGTCATTGAAATTGTTCTCGGGATCATTTTGGTCGTCATCCTCTTCGTAGTTTTCCTCACCGCTCTTTGTTTCTTCGATTTCGTCGTCGTTGACTTTGTCGCGGTTCCTTGATCTACTCCTTGTGCTGGGGCCGGACTCGCCAATGGCTAGAGCACGTTCTGCTAGTCTTCTGGATTCAATAAGTTCTTGTGCAAAAGTGACCATCTTGTGTTGTTATTCTTGAACGTAAGGATAGCTACTTCACTATCACCGTTTAAGGTAACCTAATAGACAACCACAACTTGATCACTTTATTGACGGATTGGGATAATGTAACCATTGGGATGAAACGTGGATGATATGGAAAGGAGTTGACGGATTGGGAAATGGAGAAAAGAAGTTTTTCACCTATTAGTAGTTCTTTTCTATGTGCAACTGTTGTTCCTCTTTTTCTCATCTGAACTTTTTCATCATTATCGTCCAAAAGTCATTTCCTCACGTCCAGTTCCTTTTGTCCGTCTCGAATAGGTTAGATACTAGCATACTTTTTATCATTTCTTTCTTTTATTAATTCCTTTACTTTGTTTCTCAGGTTCGAGTGTTTCTCTTAAACACTCTCACAACTGTTCTTGAGCGTGCTCTAACTTCGAGCTACTATAAAGGTGTGCAGAAAGAAATATATCTGAACTTTTTCGTCATTATCGTCCAAAATTTATTTCCTCACGTCCAGTTCCTTTTGTCCGTCTCGAATAGGTTCGAGTGTTTCTCTTAAACACTCTCACAACTGTTCTTGAGCGTGCTCTAACTTTGAGCTACTATAAAGTCTCTCTCGTCTCTGTCCGCTCTTTACAGTTTAACAGTTATTTCTTTTTGTGGGTTCTTAGCGTTAGGATAGCTTCTTGATTTGTTGTTCCGTGGTTTTGAAAGGTCAAATACACAAAAAAATTCGAAGATAGAAACTTTAAAGTTCTTGAAGACTAGTGCTTGTTTATCAGACGTGAGAGAGAACGCAGGAGGAGAAAATTTTCACGGTTTGGCGCGGGGGGAAATTTTCCCTCTTGGCTCGCACTGTTCTTGCTATATGCATGTATGCTAACGTCTGATGCAACTTGCCACTCAGTCATGGAACTCAACTCTAAGCCGTGCCTTTGTTGGCGCCACCAATCACAAGAACAGTGATATTCTAAGTAGTTCATTGATTTTTTTCAAAGTGCTGTGATCTGCTGTGATAGATTGAGAGTTTGAAATGATTTTAAGATTTGATTGATGAGTTCACTAATCTTGATCCAACGTCAGCTCGGCTTCTCTGACCACCTTACACCTTATATCAATTTCTTCACTCTGCGCAGAGAAGGCTTTGATATCTCACTTCATCGTCAGACAAGTAAATTCTTTACGAAACTTGAGGAGCCTCAGCCTCGCGCGGCGAGCGTGGGACTTTGTTAAGTCTAGGTGAAGTTGCTGTGCCTCTTAAAAAGTCAAACTCAATCAAGGTGAGAGATGTGAGTTCGGCCAAAGCTTCGACCAATGAGTAATGACAGCTCAAAAGGGCATACCTCCTCACTATTGAAGAGTTGCATATCCCCCGATCACAAATACGCCGCATCAAATCAAACGTCCATCATTGAAGGCCATTATGGAGTCTGAAAGCTTTGATGAAGACTCATTTTCGCCTATTGCCCTCACCCCAGCTCTTGAAGATACTTTCACCAGCATAGAGTTACACTCTTGGAAGAGTAAAGACGTGCGGAATATTTATCTCCCGAATCCCATGGAAGCAGACGTTGGCCACAACCCAGGAAGCTTTTCACTGTTAAACAAAGATGATGATGACAAATCGGAATCAGATGCAAGGTAACTTGAATTATTACACCCATTACAAAAGCCTTTTACCAATTTGATGAATCGCACTTCAGATCCTCGAGACTAAAATCATACTCACATATTTTCTTTCCTCCTTTTGCACAGCCCAGACCCCGATCCAAGATATATCCGCTCAAAACCTCTCTCGCCGTACGCATGGTCAATCATGTTTGTAGAGTTCTGTGTTATTATCTTTGTGACTGGTTTCATTATGGTCACAAATCTGTGTCAAATACCATTACCACCAAGTGTAGCAAAATGGGCACAAGATTCTCCAAACATGATGGCTTTTTTCATCTCGGCGATTTCAACCTCTCTTTCGGTATTATGCTCATTGTAAGTTGATATTTGTTTTTTGTGAAGATATCAAATATGAAGAAAGTAACGTGGCAGGCTCTGTAGTGGGTTTTCCAAGGCAGTACTTTTGTATACGACCGCTACTTTGACTTGGAGTCCTACTTCACTCTTTGAACTTTCAGCCGTCATTGATGTTTCAAGAGGGTCATTTGTGTTTCGGAAATCTCATTTAATGATCTCGATTATGACCGTAGCTAGTACTATTGTACTAAAATCGATGACAGCCAGGTGAATAGGAATACTTGTCAACCAACTCATACCACAGGGCTGATGAAGTATTCTCTTTTCTCACCATGATAGCTTTGTCACTCTTCTGACACCAACGCCCATCATGTTAAGGCAGCATATTTCAGGCCAACAAATTGATCTAAGTAAAGCAGAGTTTGGAAAAATGTTACACGAAGATATAGGCTGGGATGATGAAGGTAAGTTTTTCTTATTGAATGTTTTCAATATCTCATTCTGATTTCACTATTGCGAAACTTAGAACGTGCCAAGCCTGAGGTCAGGACACTATTTAGATCTACAATGGTATCTGGTGGTTTGTCAGCGGCCTACCTCGGACATCCCAGCGTGCTCAAGTTCAAAGGAACGACATATTCGGTCCCTACTGGTGAGCATCTTTTCAATATGTTTTTTTACAAGTTTGAACAATTTTATGCGGTTCGATAGGGGGAATCCTGGCCGTTGGTCCATTGCATTCAGTAATTCACGATCCGAATTCTACTCGATACCCGCCCAGAATGGCCTTTGGAGGTCAAATGAAAAAGCTTTATCATGTCGATGGAATAGCAAATGACACTTTATTGAGCTCTTCAATAAACTATACGACTACTCAAATGGGACTGTATGGAGGGGTCTCATGTAAAGCTATAGGTTCATCTGGCTTAGCAAGTTCTCAAGCTAGAATTCAACTAAAGCTGGTCAAAGATTGGAAGTCACCTTTGCCTCATAATCAAAGTTTCTCCGATTGGGTTTGGAGCGGAGCTTGCCCGAATGGAACACACATTGGTGAGTGGCCGCCCTCTAGTGGAATTTTCATCACCCCACTGAATGTCTCCTTATGTCAGATGTGCCGATGACTACCTCCCGGTACATCCCAGGACTGAGAAACAAGACAGCAGAGATTATGGGCCAAGCTGTGGCTCATGTTTGCTTTGATCAAGATTTGACCGGTGCTAAATCAACTGGAAATCATGGTGCGCAGGATTTAATTCAAACCAACTTGTTCTGCGGACCCTGAAGTATGTTCTTCAGTTCTCATTTTGGCTGGAAAAGGATCACAATACGATTTCTTGAGGCCAACTGTGTGTGAAATCCAACCGAAGATTGGCACTTATAGAGTTTTTTACAAGTTGAATAACCCAAGTGTTACAGTTGACCGAACTAGTTTCAATGTAACCCATGAGATGTCAGAAGATACTTGGATTCTTTCAAAGTACCTTGCCATGTTGACAAAGGCAATGGTTTCTACCTCTTAAACTATGTGGGCAAATACCTTTGGCGATGATATCTATTCAGTGTATCACGATCCTGCTGCGGGCTTTGGGGAAGACAAATTGGACACAATTTTTGTATGTTTCTTGTCAAAAAGTTAATGGTTGATGTTGATAAGATCTGTTTGATGGGGTTCTTCTTCAGGACTGCTGATTTCTTTCCCTCACCTCGATCAGGAAACTTACTTCAACGGTGTGATAGAATTTGGGACAACAGTGAGTCATATTCCATCCAAGATGACCTGGCGGGACGTGTTCATAAAGGTTCTCAAGTCCAAGAACAACATATTGATTGCCAATGTACCTCAAAAGGCTTTTTGAGGACACTTTTCTACAGTCGATAAGAAACCAGATCAAAACAGCCTACCAAACAACATCTCATGCAACTTTCACGGTGCTTGGCTATTCCCAACAATGGGATGGGATGCAACAAGCCTTAACTTCGGACCTACCTTGTTTTCATGGGGTCCTATTGTTCTGGTTTCATTTTTTTCAATCTGTGCTGTCTTAGTTGGATCTTATAAAAGGTTAATCCCATTACCTCTTCATTTAAATGAACCTATTAAATTTGATCCAAATGATATGACACAGATCATTCGTGTTGCTTGTGCTGGTAATCTTTCTGAAAAGTTTTCTCAGATGTCTGTTAATCAAGTAGGAAAAAGTTGTACAGAGAAAGATTATGATAAAGTTCATGTTCAGTTAAATTATGATGATGATGGCCATGGTAAATTGATATGGATGGAACCTCAAAGAGTTTGACCCCTTGAAAGATTTGATTTGTATAGTAGAATCACATTCATAACCGTACAAATTTAGGATACTCTTATAAAACTTGTTTCTCTTCTCTTCCTTCCTTGTCTCCAATCTTTTTCAATCAACTTTGCATGATTATTTTATGTCTGTGGACAAACTTTTCACACCAATAAATTGACAATTGCAATTCTCAATATTCACTATGCAAGCCGTGCCCAAGCTTTTAATCTATTCACTTCTACCTGACATGTACCAAAGTCATAGCGGAGACCAACTAATTATAAAAGTGTTTGAGGTGGGTCTCAGGAGCAAGCTTTAAAAATATTGAGTGTCAGGGATCAGAAAACACCAAATACAAGGTGAGTCATCATAACCCAAGGTATAGTATTAGTAAGCTTGGAGAGATTGTGGGATCTACAATGTTTCATCATTTTCAAACCAGAAAACATTGACGGGAGAGAAGCTGAAAATAGATGGAAAGAGTTCTCAGCATGTGTATATCACTCCCAGCAGAACTAAGTTGACAAGAACACCACTAAAGATAATTCCAAAATTTTGGAAAAAGTGTTAGTAATACAACAGGTCCAAGAAAATCTGATGGATGAAAGAGTAGAATCTGATCCAGAATGAGGTTACCTGTCAGATTCTGAACACAACAAAATGAATGATGATCATTCATTATAATTTTCACGTGGTGTAAAGAAAGGGAAGAGTGCAATAGCAATGCATTCATCAGGAAGCGGCATCTGGGAAGGGAAGAAAGATATCTCTTGTGGAATCAACAATGGTCAACCATGGAATTAAAAAAAACAAAATTCTTCCTCTAACACATAAACCAAATTCTATTATCGTATTCACCTTGAATGTTTTGATTATTGTACTGCTGATAGATCTATATGCGAAAATTTACTCTTTGGTTTTCCTTTTCATCAGCTCTGATTCAAGACCTGAGTGCAAGAAAGCACTCTCAAGGATTTTTCTAGTTTGAGCTTTAAGACTTATGTTTTGAAAACATGTGTTCTATAAGGTTTGAGAATGCCAGAAACGTAAGTTTCAAAGTCTTCAAACTTGAGGTTTTGATGCTATGTAAATTGTTCTAGAAATTTTCAGAAAAATGATATTATATACCATCACGGCTTGTGTGAAAGGAAATACAAAAAAGTCAAGGTGATTTGTCAATTCTGGGGACATAATATGGGATAGCAGACACAGGTCCAAGTGAAAGCTAGTGCAAGTCATAACAACCTCAGTACATGGTGCATTTGAGGTGGCCCTTGCTTGCTCACCAGGGTCTGGGACACCATGATAATCAGCCATTTTCCACAGGGGTAGGGTGCCACCAGGCTGGTGGACACCAAATTGATACCATCATTTAAGCTCAAGAAGGTCTTAGTATATCAAAATGATGACAGGTTAAATATTCAAATCCACTATAATTCAATTCAAAAACCTGTAACTCTCTCCCATGATGGTTTCTAGATCAGTGATTTCCTCAATAAATTCAATTCTACTTTTCAATTCAGACAAATTTTATTTACTGTACACTAAAAAGTAGACCAAGAAAAAAAGAAACATAATTTGAACACATCTGGCTCCACTTTTAATCCTGGTTTTGTAACTTTCACCATATCCTAACTCAAGTTTGTTCTTATGTTCATACAGAAAACCTTTCAATTTGAAAAAAAGCACCTGTCAATCTCCTTTATTGAGGGGTTCCAAGTTGGCTTTTTTATGTTGTTATACGTTACAACCACTTGCCTATGGTTGTAAAACATGCATGATTGTTTAAGGGGGTATCAGCCTAGGTCAAGCAATATCAAATGATTACAAATTTACACAAATTTAAAGAGATAAGAAAACACAAACATTCATAGACCAAAGCAAACTAGGTAAGTCAACCAATGTTAGTAAACAACCTAAGTATCAAGAGTTATACATATACAAGTAGGAAAAATCCACTCATGAAAGAAACCAAATGACATATCAAGCATTTCTCAAGAAACATTTTTCCAAGGCTATTGATCACTTTTGATCATCACCCATTCCATACAAAACAGGAAAGTTTACACACTACTTTGAGCCGTAAAAATATTTCCTGTTATGTAAAGATTTATCTGTAGTTTTCTTGATCTGAGTCCTCCTATTAGAAGACATTTTTAGTTGTCTCAAATTAAATATATGTTGGTTTTGTGAAGAGATTTTTTTACCGACAACTTAAAAAATACATGAACATAATTAAACTTGAAACCCCTTACTCTTTTGTCTCAATTATTCAGCATATAATGAGGGAAGTATTGATAAGAGGATGCAAGGTTGTCGTTGGATTGACTAATTTAAAACCTATAAAATGTTCAAATTTGAAACCCCTTAAATGTAGATAGATACTCATTAGCCGTGTTCAAACCTGACCCGGTTTCAAAAAACCCAGTTGACCCGGTGGACTTTTTGGCTGGAAGAAAAAACACACACATGTTTAAAGTAAACAATCAAAAAGTAAGTAAAAAACAAAAAAACTAAAACAAACAATTTAATATAATGTAAAGATAAGTAAAAGTTAAGATATATCACAAAAAGACATTTTTTTTTTTTTGAAACAAAAATTCCTCTTTTTTTTATATATATATATCAAAGAATAAAACTTTCTTTATTTTATCATTAGAATTTTGTGATTTTTTTTTTTAAAAAAAAAAATCTTTGGAATTAAAATTTAATATTTTTTTTCATGTTAGTATAAAGACCCCGTTTATTAAAAATCTTTTCTACACAATTGTAATTTCTTTTAAATTGCTTCAAGAACGTCTTTTCCTAAATTTCAAAACCAAACCCTTCTCGATACCATACCATAGCTCTCCTCTTAATTGAAAAGAATTTAAGGAGGAGGTCTTTCATCATCCGAGATTTCCATTGGACTAACACTTTGTTCTCGATCAGGCACCGAAAGTAATCCTAAATGATTATTTCCCATTGAAGTTTCCGATACGTTATGATGATGATGATGAAGCAGATGAACTTGTTGTTCTAAATCTGATCTTCTTCTACTAATCCTTCTAATCTCTTCTTCTGCTTCTTCTCCTCCTGATCTCTCGACTTCATTCTCTTGATTCTGATCATTAAATAATGGAATAGGTGATCTTAATCCGTTCTGATGATTTCCTCCACTACTACTTCCAACATTAGGTAGTGTTAATAGATCCGGTGATCCGCTTCCGTTTCGATGATGATGATGATGATGATTAGCGGTACTGACAGTCATCTGTTGTTGTCTTGCAATCGTAATGGCTTCATTATAAACCCTTCGTGCAAGATAATCATGTCCGGTAGCAGGATCCGCCAAGAATTCTCCCAATTGCATCATTCTAGTTCGTGCTGGTAACCTAAATGGTCGGTGTGGATTAGCCTGTTGTCGAGCTGATTGCATAGCACTTGCCATGATTCTTGGATCTGGCATCGAATTAAACACAGCTAGATTAGGTCCGATCGGATTACTTTCATCTGTTAGGTTAGGTGTAGTAGCAGGTGAAGTGGATGTATCAAATCGATTTCGGTTTTGGTTATTGGTGATCGAGTTATAAAGTGCAGCAAGATAATATCTCAGTTCATTCACTCCTTTTCCAGAATATACACAAAACGCCTGTCTTTGATGCGCATTGAAATCCTTTCACACAAATCAACAAATCATGAAAAATTAGAATCGAATTCTCTACGCTTCCTGAAAGGATGAAGATCAAAGGTGGTTTACCTTGGGTGGTGCGCGACACCAAGCTTGTAGATCCGTCCTACGAAAGGCAGGTACACCGGTCAAGCTGAGATGAGTAAGCCGATGTAATCTCTGTAAGAGCCAATGAATCGCTCCCACTGAGATATTATCACAGTAAGAGAGATGAATCCTTTCTAGAGATGTTCGATCCACCAATGTGAAGACTGATTGGTCTGTGATATTGGTAACCTGTGAAACCGTTAGAGAAGATTCAATATTGGCCACATAGTAGGATAAAGATGAACCACTTACTCTTACAAGTCCGATACGCTTCAGTCTCGGTAAAGATTGGGCTAACTCAAACACGCTCATATCCGTTAGATTATTACAGCCTTGAATGTTCATCGTAAGTCTGGTCAGTTAAATCAACGATCATAGAGGTCCTACAAGAAATTCCAGAGAAAATTATAAACCTACATGCTAAATCAATATACCTGAGCCTAGTACAACTTCGAGCTACTCTAATCACAGCTCTATCCGTAAGACTATTTTTCACAAAACCAAAATCCAGATTAGAATTGAATGAAGCATCATTCAAGTAAGAGGGAAACGATGTACATACCTACTAACATGACCTAAATGAAGATAATGAAGATACTTTCCTAATCCACAAATCGAATTCAAAGCTTCATCAGTCAATCCTACACATTTGGCGAGTACCAAATTTCGAATCCTAGGCATATGTTTAATGATTCCATCTAAACTTGAATCAGTTAATTTAGCTAAAGAAGTTAAATCTAAAAACCTAATATGATCAAAATGCATCACAGTAGGACCACCCATCATCAAATAATGATAATGATTTGATAATTCCATCGGTTGTCCATTTGATTGATTCGAATTACTTTCTTCTGATAAGATTGGATGACTTTCTCCATCTGCTCCGATGGCAGGATTCATGGCACTGGGAAATCCTCCATCTGATATCTCTGTACATCCGGATAAACTTAATTCACGTAGATGTGATGAGTTTTTCCATAACATCCAAAGACTTGCATTCGAAATTTGACGGCATCCTACTAAGTCTACTTCGAGTAATAATGGACATGAGACTGCTATGGTGATAAGTGACAAATCGGTGATTTTTTCGCAATACTTCAACTTGAGCTGTGTGATAAATTGTAATTCGTAAGTCATCTTTGCCTTGCATATTTTTTTTCGAACGAAATGATAGAAAAGGACTAACCCTACGTAATGCCTTACAATCTTTTAAAGACTGTAACCCATGATCTGTGATAGCTTTACAACCTGATAAATTAAGACCTTGAAGTAATTTGCAATTTTGACCAACAGCTTCGATAGCCAGATCAGTGACCAATTTACAATCCGAAAGATCTAAAGCCACTAAATCAGTTGAGTTGATCAAAACTTTAATAATCGAATTATCAGATATCGAATTACATCCTGATAAGGTCAATCTTTCAAGTCTTGTACAGTTCACTAATCGAAGTAAGATATGATCCGTCATATGATCAGCTATTCCTGAGAAATTCAAACGTCGGATAAAGGTGATATAAGGAAAGGTTGGATTTTTATTGGCTAGTGAGACTAGCATTTTGATTAAACAAGAGGTGGATGCGAAAGTGGGCTTGTGCCATAGTAACTCGACTCCGCATTGACACCAAGCTTTACAAACTAAAAGTGCTCTCCCTGTTGATGAAACAGAATGATGGATCAGATTTACAGATCCAAGTCAACTGAGGATGAACAAAGCGGAGGATAAGAAGAAGGGGGTCAAGATTTCAGATGACTAACGTAGATCAGTTGCAGAGGTGACGGAACGTAAGATTTGAATCAGAATTTCATGAGGTAATGAACTGGAGAGTGGTACGTTTGGTTTTTGAGAAGTTGATGATCCATTAACGCTTTGAATCCAATCATTAACTGATGCACTAGTACTTGGAATAACAGCTTGTTGTTGGTTGATGACCACAGTACCTTCGTTATCACTCTCGATAAGTTCAGAGAGATGATGTGGATGAGAATCAAGTTGATTAGATTGAGGATTTGATCTAGGACTGATTGTATTGAAGGGCCAAGGATGAGAACCTGGTTTAGCAGAAGGAGTAGTGAGAGCAGGTACGGTTGGATGGTTTTCAGTTGAGTTGATCCTTAGATTCCGGTCATCACCTCTTCTTGGTGGATCTGGACCAGGATCGTCTTGTTCGGAATCAGAAGAAGCAGTTGAAGAAGGAGAAGAAGGATAACGAGATGAAGGTTCTAATTGATTTGATAAATGAGACATTCTTTGGATGAGTTGATTGATTGATTGGTTGAGAATGAAGTTGATTGTTGAGAATGAGAATGAGTTGGTAGGATGGTCACTGTCCGTTGGGTTATATCTAGGGTGCACTTAAGCTTAAACCTTAAGTACATGAATCGAATAAAACCCCTTTTTGCTAACCAAATTCTCTAAAATGTTAAGTGTCAATGACATTTAAACTTGATGAACCATAGCAACGATGAGACCCTTGATGAACATCATCTCCAAATCAACCTCTTTAACATTCTCCATCATCTCCAAACACTCCAGATCCATCCATCAAACTTGATTATAAACCTGATGAGGTCCATGGATAGGGTTCACTTGTTTCTTATCTTATGACGTCATCCCAATGAGGTTTGATTGATTGGGGTGATTTTACATATGGTATGTACAGCCATTCCGATATTGCTTGTCGCACCTTTTTGAAAAGAAAAAGTTTGTGAGCTCGAAACCTAAGTTTTAACCGGTTAAAACCTGAAGTTTGGCTGTATTGCCTTGAATTACAGCTGAGTTTGAAGTTTTATCGAGTAAAAACTTAGGTTTCAACTTTTCTTTTTCAAAACGGAGCGACAAGCAATATCGGAATGGCTGTAATCCTGGTTTACAAAACAAAATCATAACACCATGACATCTCATCCTTTAAAGAGAGATCTTGGTCTTACATATAATTGAACTTCAATTGAAACTTGTTGCCAACTGGATTCCAAGAAGTTACAGAAATAGTTGATACTTGTCATTCATTTCATTGGAACACATGATGCCATACATACAACAAGTGGCATCATGTTGAATAAAGAAAATGTTTTGAAGCTCAATTAATCCAACACAGAATATCCAAAATTGGTGCCACAAAGGTTATTTATCAACAGACCTTTCAGATTGACCATAGTTTCTGTGCTGTAAAATATCCATGAAATTCTGTTTGAGTAAAAAATAAAGAATTCAGAGCTATTGCCGTCAGGTGATCTTCATAGAGTTTTGCGCATACCATTTCTGGGTTTGAGTTTATGGATCATGATCAGAACTCATTGGAAGATGGACTTTGGAGTTCAAGGATGATGTTGCAGACCCGAGCTAGATAAAGATTTCAGGAGAAAGCTCGGATCGGACTCTTGGGTGCCACGGGTTGATAAGTTGAGGTGTCGATCGGGTAATTCATCCACTTGAAGGTATAAAGAGACCATCTCAAGTTGGATAATCGAACACTTTACTGTTTTTTGTTTTTGATCATCATGACACCAGAATTAGAAGTTTGTATCATTGGAGGTGGAATAGTAGGAGCTTCAACTGCATTTTACTTGACACATCCATCTGATTCAAATCAACTTCTTCCATCAAAAGTGACGATTGTTGATTGTTTAGGAATTGCTAAATGTGCTTCTGGTTATAGTGGTGGATTCATGGCTAAAGTCAGTTTTTCTTTTCAAACTTATAACTCTCTTTATATGTTCGTTCTAAAGCAATCTTTTACTTTTCGGTGTTTCCATTTAGGATTGGCATGGAACTTCAACTTCTTCTTTAGCTCTTCATAGTTTTAAATTACATCAAGAATTGGCAGAAAGGTTTAATGGAAATCAAAATTGGGGTTATAGAAAACTTTCAGCACTTTCATTAAAACTTATTCATCAAACAACAAAACTCAAAAATGAAGACAAATTTAATCATCAATCAAAGCTAATTAATCCTGATTGGTTAGAATCAAGTTTAAAAGTCATTGAAAATTCTCAAATTGGAAATGAAGAAACTTGTGCACAAGTTCATCCTAAACTGTTAACTGAATTTTTGATTAAGAAATGTGAAAGTTTAAAGAATGTTGAATTTAAAGTGATCAAAGCTACTGCGAAATCTATTTTATGGGAACCCATTGCTTCTGATGAATCTCTCAATAAGTCTTCAAGTTCTGTTCGTCGTAAAGGTCGATTAATAGCATTAGATGAAGATCATCAAGAAATTCAAATCAACTTTAATGAACTTGTATTGGCTGCTGGTCCTTGGTCAGGAGTTCTTGCAAACCAACTCTTTTCATCTGATCTCAATCGACGACTCAAAAGTGTAGATGGAATGCGAGCTCATTCGATCGTTCTTCGCTCACAAAAGTCAATTTCACCTCATGCTCTGTTTACTCATTTATTCATCACCGATCATCAGGCTATCAAACCACAATGGACTGAACCTGAGTTTTACCCTCGACCAGATCATACGATCTACATCTGTGGCGCTGGTGATGACGAACCCTTACCTGCCTTACCATCTGAAGTAAAAGTAGACAAAAAGGCGATTTCTAAACTAAAGGCTCAAGCAAAAGCTGTCATCGATCCTCAATACTTGATAGATTCGGATCAAGAAGTGATTCCAACTTTGGCCGAACAAGCTTGTTATTTACCTGTGGGTCAAGCATTGGTGGGTAGACTTTGTCCTGGTGTTTTAGTTGGAACTGGGCTTGGATGTTGGGGTATCACACTTGGACCTGGGACTGGTCATGTATTGGCTTCTATGATCCTTAACGAATGCTCGGCTGTCTCTAATCCTGACTTGAGTCAATTATCACCGATATGAATGCTCTGTTTGACCTATGCTCGGTTTAGACATTAATGCTTCTTACTGCACCCGAATACCGTTACTTTCTTCGATTGTTCAGTGCTTTTACTTTGGGAAGTTTGCAGTGTACATTGGCCAACGGTCCTGTAAATCTTCAATGTATTCAAAAATCTTTGCGCATATCTATGTATAATAATATGTTGTAGTAATACAAAGCAGAACAAGCAACCTTTTTTTTCCGGCAAGATACCTCAAGTCTGGCCATGGCATGTATCTATAAATCATAAATATTGCGTTGGAGTTGACGGGGAGAGGATAATCTATGGTTGATCGGAGGGGTATGCTGAACTCACAAAACCCAACCTCGATTAATTGGGCTGATATTACCATTGGCGGTTAAGTTGCATTCTCTGGTCTCGTTGGATCTAACCAAACCGCGCATCAAGCTCGACTTTGGATACAAAGCCTTGCTGATGAGAGCTCCAAGCTCGATGGCAAAGATGTTCTGAGAGTGTGAAAGTGATCTCAGAATTTTCGGGTGTAGGAGCTGGACTCAGAATAGATGGTTTGGTCCGAATGTATTGGTAATGATGTCATATGGCGGCGCAGGCGTCAACCTTAAATGTTCACACTGCTCCGCCGGGCCATTGGTATCAAATTACTACGATGGCCGTGGTGATGAGAAGTGCCAAAACCTGGACCAGACGTTTTGTTCGTTATGGTAAGCTACGACTTGGCAAGATAGCGCACCTTGATTGAAATTCGAGAGATGTGCAATGGCGAACTGACACTCTGGCCTGGGCGTGTATTTTTTTCGCACCTCAGACAAGGACAAGTTGTGCATCAGTCAGATTTCAACTGTGAAGGAATTGGCTGGACGAAAGCTTCAACTGGGCTTCAAAGCTTTTGCTCCGGTAGTACAGCAGTAGGAAGTTGGCAAGAGTATAAGAAGCGAGATAATATCTCATCAATTGCCTTTTTCCTCACTCCACAGTCAAATCATACTTTAATACGTACCTTCAGTTAAACTTATATTTATTTAATTTTTAAAACAAACGTTGATCGTTTATTTTTAATTACATATTCTTATTTCAATCTTTTTTTTGTTGTTTAACTCATTACAATTTTTTATTTCAATACACCAAAAAAACACTTTTTTTTACGATAAACCAGCCCTTCTATTTCAATTCAAGATGCTTTCTACCTCATACCTAGTTTCATGTGTTGTTCTTGCTACCTCTAACTTGGTGGTCTTGTCTACTCCTCTTCCTCAAGTCCCTGCAACTGGATCTTCGTCTCTTGTTAGTTCTTTCTTTCTTCCATTGACCGATCCTTTGACACAGTTGACTGATTTCTTTTACCTCAGCTTGGTCCGACTGGTGCTTCTATCTTGGGTGGCGCTGGTTCTCCATTTGGCTACTCACCCGAGATGGGAGACTTTGGTGGCATGGGGCCCACCTCTGGTTTAGGCTCCACTCCCGGCATGGGATCCACATCTCCCTTCGGTGCCAACCCCGCGTTGGAGTCCGCTTCTGGATTAGGATACACCTCTGGATTAGGATCCACCTCTGCCCTAGGATCCACCTCTGCACTAGGATCCACCTCTGCATTAGGGTCTACCTCCGCAATGGGAACCACCCCAGCCCTAGGAACCACTTCTTCTCTCGGAGCCACATCCGGGATGGGAGCCCCACCCGGGATGGGAGCCACCACGGGCTTAGGCGCAACTGGGCTTGGCTCGACCTCGGGAATGACCACACCGACCTCAACCATGTCCCCCTCGATATCATCCATGCCGTACATGGGAACCAATTCGACAATGTATGCCATGGGAAACAATTCGTCATCGAGAACTGGCGCACCTATCGGCGGCTCTTCACCTTCGAACAGATCGAGCATGAGCATGAGCATGGCAAGCACCCCCACAAGCAGTCGAGTTGGAAACCTGAGCGGTTCTTCTGACGTAAGTCTTATAATGAGATTCTTTAATCGCAAGTAGATTACTAACCTTGTTTTCACCCTTCCAGATGATGCACGGCGCCGATGGCATGCATGGTTCCAACCACTCCATGGGCATGGGTATGGGTGTGGGTATGGGTAGTTCCAGTTCATCAAGTTCCAGCTTAGGATCTGGATCTGGGGGTTCTAGCATGCTGGGTTCAGGCTCAGCGATGACCTCATCCACCGCATCAAGAAACGCCAACATCAGTGCTACTGGTTCCATGGGTTCAATGGGTTCCATGGGCTCCATGGGCTCAATGGGTGCCAACAACCGCAACAGTACCGTAAGTAACACACTTCAATATCCTTCTGTTTTACCACCGGCATCATTTATATCCATTCTGATCTTCGTGACCTTACACTTCTTAGGGTATGATGCAACCACAGTCCGAAAAGTCAGACGCGTCTGTTCACATGAGTCTAGGTGGCTTCATTGTCTCTGCGGTGGCTTGTATGAGTGTGCTTGTTGTTTGAGGTGTGACTCCTGGCTTCATCTTTTTAGTCATCTTGTTGTAGACTGCAAAAATATCGTGTTGGATCATAGACATTGAAATTATACCCAGGCTTGTTTAATCGTACTTAGAATGTCTCTTGAGCCACAAATACCTTGAGTTGCTCGATAGGAAGCCAACTTCTAATCGCGCTCTTACATCCGCTTCAATAATTGCCTTCATGATGTGGCTTCTTTTTCCATCCCTTCAAGCTTCCTTTACTTCCTCAACATTCATTCCTTTAAGTTGTCCTCTCCTGGACATCCTGAATTGATGCTTAGTTGCGTTGAAAGGTTGAGGTCTGAAAATTTGGTTATGTCTTCCTTGACATCCACAACCCCTCATGGGTCTTCTTACCAATCTGCCCTGAAATATCAATCTTCAATCACGGTCGATATATATACTCTCGAGGTTTGCGTTATAGACGACTAGAAATTGAATCTCCATTATCTTGCCAATACAATTGGGGTTTAACTGATCGCAATGAGTCTTTCTCTGGAGTTCATGATGGACCTCACTTTCTTTGCCTCTCGATTCAATAAAATTGACACAGTATTGACATGCTGGTGGAATGATACTAATGCCTCATATTTTCACTTATGTATACCTTTTTGTTTCAATTGGTCTTGGACGATAAACACACAGGTTGATTTCAAGAAGAAAATATTCCCATAATGTATCTATCGTGTAAGGCAACAATTGATTTGACCTGGAGGTCCACGTCTACCTGACCAAGTTCATCTACTGAAGGGCGAGATTGAGCAGAAAGAGGGACTGCTCGAATGACAAGCACAATCACCATTTGTTGGCACGATTCGGTTTGAATAGAAAACTCTTTGGAGAAAACACTTCCAAACCTCCGTACTATGTTATTCTGCTCAGTAATGATATGGATCTTTTCACGAGAAAAGTTTCAATCCAAAGTAGAAAAAGAGCACTATAGATTCGGAACATAAACAAAAGGTAATTCAACAAAAAAATCTTGGTTCACTTTTCAGTCTACTCATCATCAAATTGTGCTTGACTGGAAATCAAAATAGACAATAAGGTGTATCAAGAAGATTGGTCGAGAAACAATAATGAAAACGAGCGACAAGTTTTGGACCGATTTGAAAGAGAATTGAGTTGCAATAAAATGGAGGGCATCAAATATTTCGCGTTACTTGTTAGTGGCTTTGATTCCTTCAACTTGAATAGTATGCTCACGGAGGGACCAGATGAAATTATTTGGATTTGCCCGGAGCCTTTGATGCTTAGACAGCGACAGGTCCTTAAAACTAGGCGGCATCTCGACCTCGTTTCCGGAAAGTCTTGAGGAAATTTATGTTATCCAAACCACGCAGAGCAAATTTTCCAAGACGAATGTCTTGTGGCTGATCAAGAAAGAATTCGAGAAATCTAGTCAAGAGATCATTATGGGAATTTTGAAGAGTTGGCGATTTTTGAAATTGATGAATCATGAGCTCCATATGTTTGCTGTTTAATAGTATAAGTCTTTCTAAGGGATGGTCATGTAATCCCGGATCTATTGAATGCTTTATCCCCAAATAAAATCTCAAATCTGCTTGCAATACACCACGATCAGGATAGAACAAACCCGAAAGGATACTGGTACAAAACTATGGATCAACTCACGTTTTACCCAAAATGACATAACTGTCCTATATGCAGCTGGAGTGAATCTATCATTACCGGTGAGTATCAGACCATTACGCAAGGTGCTTTGCGCTGCCACAAAGCTGTCAGTGTCACTGTAAAATGAAAACATATCAATCATTTGTGCACACACTGTAGGGAGGTGACTTTGACCCACCTGTTGTTTGAACTGTTGATATCATTGATCAAATTCTCTTTTAGTGAAAGGATACGTTTAGTTACCAGATCTTCAAAAGGATCACCCAGTTGATGAGATGCCATTTTGAATATATTTCGGGTATCCGCCTTTACCCAGCTCTCAAGGATCACTTGAGTCTCCAGCATTCCCTTGACATGACTGTTCACATATGAGTATGTGCTCAAGTCTTAAAAGGAGGGTTTGTTTCTGTGAGTTCTTCAAACTTCAACAACGAGGATCAGCAAAACTCACGCAAGACCCAGTGTTGCCGAAGCTCAATACTCTCCACTGGGGACCATTGTTTTGCAAGGTCGATCTTAAATTGTCCCAGCTTTTCTTGTTCATTGTCTGTGAATGTGTTTATGATCCTGTCACTTTCAGTCACCCTGTAAAAGTAATTCAAGGAGCTATCAAGTCAAGTCTACTTTTACATCATGAGCAATGGAGTCACTGACTTATCCTGTTGAAGCTGTTCAATATGCTCTTTCATGACATTTTTGGCTTTAAGTATCATTTGGTTTAGGTTTTGGAGTTGAAATAACCCTAAATCATTCTCATGAAGGTAAAACTTCTGAGTCTCAGCGTGAAATTGCATCAATGTGACCTGAACTGCTGGTGTTGGCATATAGGACAAAAGATCCCCAATGAACTGCCAAAAGCTGTGTTCCTTAAATTGGGATTCCATCATGAACACTTCCTTGAGGATATTGGTCCATTCTTGGATTCCTGACTGCAACATCTTGTTGATATGGTGAAACACTTCTAACCCAGGTGGAGCTTTGTGCCAATCACATGAATGTTAGGATATCCTAAATTTATTGACATGCTTCAAAGAAGATGCTCACCATCCATGCCTGGACCAGGGAGAGCAAAGAAAGGGATAGAGTTCTGCCTTTCTTTTAGGTCCATCCCTAAGTAATCGCCAAGACATTTCACAGGCTTGCTAGCAACAGCACTAGGAGGTACACCCCAGATGTCAGAGTAGACTTTGTGCAGAGAAGCAATGAGATAAGGCCAATAAGTATATTATCATGATTGAAATGAAGCACATTAAAAATGGTTTATGTAGTATATTCACCTTTTTCAAACAAATGCTCTGGTTCAATTATGCTGGAAGTTGGTGAGGCTAAGGTGTGTGTCCCAAAGAAACACAAGTCAGTCAAACCTTGGAGACCAAGTATTATGACTATTTTTATTGGTAAACTGTTCATTTCTCGTTATAATTGATGATGTGAGTAGTATGGAGGATGTGGTGGGAATTTCAAAATGGGTGTGTGGAAACCAGTTGACTTTATGTTCTCAAAAGAAGAATTGTGAAACTATGTTCTGTATCTTTCATATCCTTGATAAATGCACAGTATTCCATCAAAGGTTTCATTGATCAATATACTCTGTTTGAGATATCCCAGGTGACATGTCTGAAGTGAATAAAAATACAACAAATGCTTCAATGTTCCAGAATAAAACACCCTATGCAACATTTGGCACAGTTTTCCCTGTGGTATTGTACTGCATTGATGTATATCAATCACATGATGAAAACATTTTCAATGAAACAGAAAATGACATCTGAATTTTTTACTACCAACACTGGATCAGCAGCACCCTCAGTTGCATCAGGGGGGCAGCGCAATGCACAGTGATTCCCCGCTCTACTAAATCCTAGTCATGCACAGCAAACCAGCAACCACTGCACTGTGATTGGGCGCGCAGATTTTTACTGCTGCTCACAAATGCTGAAAGTGAGGGTGTAAATCTTAAAAACTTGTTTGCACTGCCGAAGCGACTTTTACTTTGTAGTCACAGCCAAAAAGTTATTCAGGGTTACAAAGTATGTAATTAAGGAATGGTGCTTGGGTTCTGACAAGGCCTGAGGCATAACCCACATCCATGTCACAAGAACCTGAGATGCTCAAGTCTTGTGCTACATGGGATAGATTAATTAAGTCATTTGAGGGGGAGAAGATGCTTAGGTAAATCTGATGGTGACAGAAATTGGTGCCTGATACCAGGCATGAGTTGTAGAAAGGTAGATTCTTAGTTAATTACTTGCCAAGACTACCTTTCTTCCCCTCCTCCAAGAGAAGGCTTTACAGACTTTCTTCCTTCTGCTATTGATTTTGCATACTATTATATTTCTGCTTAATCTTCCCAGATAAAAGCTTTCAAGAATCTCATCTGTACATCTTCTCACTCAAAGAAAATTCCTCTGAATTGTTTGAATTTTTGAGCCCCTTCAGACAGTGACTCAGCTCTTTGAGCTTGCACTCCCTGCAGTTGGTTTTTGAAGGGACTTATTCCCTATCTTTTATTGAATTCTCTCTTTGCAAAAAGATGCCTGAAGATCTCTAGAAAGTGAGATATATCAGAGCGCTTCTAGAGAGAGATAACACATTTGGATTTTCACCCTTAGCTTGTTAGCCTCACTGTCAGATAATTATCCAACAGAAAGTCTTGAAAATTAGCACAACATTTGGTAAGTGAAGGAATGAATGTTTATTAGATTAAACCTTAGAATTTCTAAAAAAAAATCAACATTAAAAAGGCTTATCAGGAACATGGACTATGTAGTATAAGACAATTCAAGGTAAAAAAGATGTAATGAAAGTATGACTAGAAATAAGACGTAGTTTAATGAGGGAAAAAACAAAAAAATTAAAAAGATAAGCATAAAAAACAAGTCACAGAAACAAGAAACAGGTGATCCCTGAAGTGACATATAGTGTGCCTTCACATAGCCACCGTACTTGGGCATCCTATGTGCCTCCATTAAATTCATAAACTTTGTGAAAAGAGAGACTCCCTCACAAATCCAGATGAAAGTAGATACTGACCTTTCAATAGTAATTGAAACCAGTATTCTTCAACTTGCAGCACAATCATCAGCTGCAGTCAAATATATCCTTTTGAGTGCAACCAACAAACCAGCACAAGGAAGATAGCCTTTTGTCATTGAGGAGAGAATTGAATATCAATTGCAATGAATCTTCATAGAAGAGGATGAATATCAGCCTTGATGAATGAAAGGTCAGAAAATGAATTACATACCTTCAAGTTCCACCATGTCAGTGTAGAGTTAGGGAATGCAAATGCCAGATCCTACTCCGGACCTTTGATGGAATTTCAACCACCAAGGTAGTCTCTAAGTTGATCTATTTCTCCCATTAAGCAAACATCCTTACATCTGTACACAACTTTTGACCTATGCAACACCACATCAAGTCAGGCCTTGGTTGGTGCTCACACAGAAAAATCCTTTGGAGAATTGATGATGCAAGCACCAGAAGAGACATCTACTGGTTCATCTTTATTTACTAAACGAGATGGCAATAACTTACAAAAACATGAAACTACTTCAATTCTACTTGAAAGGGATAGCGAGACGGGTAGCGTTTTGATTCCTAGAAGTTGGAGTGATGTTAAGAATCACTTCCAAACTTCCATAATCTATTTGATTCATTTCTGCACAGATGCATGTACAAATGTAATCAAGTGAATGTTTCATAAGCTCCTTGTAAGGTCTGTAGACCTTTGCTGGTTTTCTGGATCTCTTGGATTAGACTCAACTTAAGAGCACTAGTTTAGACATTGTTTTTCCACTAATACAAGGGTGGGATTATGTTTGTGTAAAATATGTTAAGTCAAGATGGTCATCAGTACCATCTTGTATGTAGATATCAAATCCACAATACGTAGAAGTCCAAAGCTGTGAACCAGGGATCTTGAATCCTCTAGACTCATCAACCAGACCCTGCCACTTTTAATGGACTGAGGGATCTTTGCAAGCTTTGGCACATCCTTCTATTGTATTTTGAGCTGGGCCGAGCTTCAGAAAGCCTCAGGAATGGTTCTCAGAAGAGTGAAGACTTTCCAGATCCAGGCATGAAAGTTAAATGTAAATTACAGTCTATCTAAACCAATGACTACAACCCATTGCCCACTTACCACATGTATACCTTTTATGTCACTCAGTTGGTTCAATTAGGAGAAGTTATTATGGTAATTATTGGTATGGATCTTCACGCAAAAAAAGATACAATACAACTCAGGAAAAGAGCAGTGTAGATTTGAGAGACAGAAAAAGGGATATTCAAATAAACTTTTGATTCACTGTGTACTCATCAAAATGTGCTTGATTGAAAACCAAAAAGGAAAATAAGGTGCATTAGGAAAACCGGTTCAGAACCTATGATGAAAATGAGTGACATGTTTTGGACCAAATGGAAAGAGAATGGAGTTGAAATAAAGTAGAGGACATCAGATGTTTTGATTTTCATGCTAGTGGCTTGAATTTCTCCAACTTGGATGGTATGATCATGGAAGGCAAAGATGACATGATTTGAATTTGCTCAGAGCCTTTGATGCTTGGATGGTGGCAGATCTTCAACACTAGGTGGTGGCTCAATTCTGGAGACCCTTGAGGATCTTTATGCGCTCCAAACCATGCAGAGCAAATTTTCCAAGACGAATGCCTTGTGGCTGATCAAGAAAGAATTCAAGAAATCTAGTCAAGAGATCATTCTGGGAATTTTGAAGAGTTGGCGATTTTTGAAATTGATGAATCATATTCTCCAAATGTTTGCTGTTTAATAGTATAAGTCTTTCTAAGGGATGGTGATGTAATCCTGGATCTATTGAATGCTTTATCCCCAAATAAAATCTCAAATCTGTTTGCAATAGACCATGCTCAGGATAGATAAACCCCGAAAGGATACTAGTACAACACTGAGAATTAACTCACGTTGTACCCAAAATGACATAACTGTCCTATATGAAACTGGAGTAAATCTAAAACTATCAGTAAGTATCAGACCAGTACGCAAGGTGCTTTGCAATTCCACAAATTCGTAAGTGTCACTGTAAGATAAAAATATATCAATCATTTGTGCACACACTGTAGGGAGGTGACTTTGACCCACCTGTTGTTTGAACTGTTGATATCATTGATCAAATTCTCTTTTAGTGAAAGGATACGTTTAGTTACCAGGTCTTCAAAAGGATCACCCAGTTGATGAGATGCCATTTTGAATATATTTCTGGTCTCTGCCTTGACCCAGCCCTCTAGGATCACTTGAGTCTCCCGCATTCCCTTGACATGATTGTTCACATTTGAGTATGTGCTCAAGTCTTGAATCAGAAATGTGGGCTTGTTTCTGTAAGTTCTTCAAACTTTGACAAAGATGATCAGCAAAACTCACACAAAACCCAGTGTTGCCAAAGCTCAATAGTCTCCAATGGGGACCATTGTTTTGCAAGGTTGATCTTGAATCTTCCCAGCTTTTCTTGTTCATGGTCTGTGAATGTGTTGATGATCCTGTCACTTTCAGTCACCCTGCAAAAGTAATTCAAGGAGCTATCAAGTCAAATCTACTTTTACATCATGAGCAATAGAGTCACTGACTTATCCTGTTGAAGCTGTTCAATATGCTCTTTCATGACATGTTTGCCTTTGACTATCATATCCTCTAGGTTCTGACGTTGAAAAAACCCTAATTCATCTCCAAAAAGGCCAAACTTCCGCTTCTCAGTCTCCATTTGCATCAATGTGACCTGAACCGCTGGTGTTGGCATATAAGGCAAAAGATCCCCAATGAACTGCCAAAAGCGGTGTTCCTTAAATTGGGATTCCATCATGAACACTTCCTTGAGGATATTAGTCCATTCTTGGATTCCTGACTGCAAAATCTTGTTGATGCGGTGGAACACTTTTAATCCAGGCGGAGCTTTGTGCCAATCACATGAATTTGAGGATATCCTAATTGATTGACATGCTTCAAAGAAAATGCTCACCATCCATGCCTGTACCAGGGAGAGGGAGGAAAGGGACAGAGTTCTGCCTTTGTTCCAGGTCCAATTCCAAGTAATCGCCAAGACATTTTGTAGGCTTGCTAGCAACATCACCAGGAGGTACACCCCAGATGTCAGAGTAGACTTTGTGCAGAGAAGCAATGAGATAAGGCCAATAAGTATATTATCATGATTGAAATGAAGCACATTGAAACTGGTTTATGTATTATATTCACCTTTTTCAAACAAATGCTCTGGTTCACTTATGCTGCAAGTTGGTGAGGCTGAGGTGTGTACCCCAAAGAAACACAAATCAGTCAAAGCTTGGAAACCAAGTATTACAAATACCTTTATTGGTAAACCAGTCATTTCTTGTTATAGTTGATGTTGTGAAGAGTATGGAGGATGTGGAGGGAATTTCAAAATCGGTTTGTGGAATCCAGTTGACTTTATGTTGTCAAAAGAAGACTTGTGAAACTATGTTCTCAATCCTCCATATCCTTGATACATGCACAGTCTTCCATCATAAGATTCATTGATAAATATACTCCATCTGAGACATGAAAGGTGACAGATCTGCAGTCAATAAAAATACAAAAAAATGCTTCAATGTTCCAGAATGATTGTATCTCACATCTACAGCATCTGTCACACTTTTGCCTGCGGTATTGTACTGCATTTATGTATATCAATTCCATGCTTAAAACCTTTCCAAAAAATCCAAAAGAAGACTTTTTATTGTTTTACTACTAACACTGGATCAGCAGCACTCTGGTTTGCTTCAGGGAGGGCAGCAAAATGTGCAGCAATTCCCCACCGTACTAAATACTAAAGTGGCAACCAATGCACTGTGATTGGGCGCGCAGATTCTCACCGCTGCTCACAAATGCTGGAAGTAGGAGTGTGACTGTTAAGAGCTTGGCTGTGCTGCCAAAGTGTTGTTTACTTTGTAGTCTCATCCAAAAAAGTTATTCAGGGTCACAAAGAAATTAGTTGAAGAATGATGCTATAAACCGTGTCCATGTCATAAGAATCCAAGCTGCTCAAGTCTTGTGGTTAGACATAGGATAGATCAAGTGAGCCATTTGAGGGGGAGAAGACGTTTAGGTAAATATGATGATAAAATAACTTGGTGCCGGATAGCAGGCATGAGTTGTAGAAAAGGTAACATCTTGGTTAATGACTTACTAATAGTAAGACTACCTTTCTACCCCTCCTCCAAGAGAAGGCTTCACAGACTTTCTTCCTTGCGCTGCTAATTTTTTTGACTATTATCTTTCTGCTCAATCTTCCTAGCTACATAAAATCTTTCAAGCATCTCATACTTGATCCAGTAGGAGTAGTTAAGAGCTTGTTTAATAAGCATTTAGAGAACCATACCAACAAAGAAACATCACCCTCCGCCCACCCTAGCATGTACCTACAATTAGTTGTAGGATGTGGTAGCAGGACTGTGAGAATAAAATCAAAAAAGAAAAGTGAACAAACCAAGATGGCTAGTTGACCCAATTATAGTAGAGATGGATGTGTATATGATTTGTTGGATTTCTTAGTACATATCCATCACTTTAAAACTTATTGTCATTCATAACTTTCAAACAAATTGGTTTGATAAAAGAAAAAGAAAAAATTAAAAACCAGTTTACAAAATTTATATTGAACTTCATTTGACTAACAATAAAAAAAAAGAAATGATTTATCAAGTGATCAAAAATTATAGTAAGAATCAAACTTAAGTAAAATTGATAAATTATAAGAAAAATAATTTAAGACCATGATAAAGAATACAAAGAAAATCACCATTCATTCTTTCCTTTATATTCCTTTATTTCTCAACCCCAATTTTTTCATCAACCCAACAAATCCAACCCACTCTTCACCCCCAACTTCCTTCAAATCTCCGATCCTTACCCCAACTTTTCTTCATAAAGGTGAATACTTACGAATCATCAAAACCAAAGCTTCACAAGGTTCTTCAATAATTTTCATCTTCAAAGGGTTTTGATGATGACTAACAAACCGATTCAAATCAAATAAACTTTCAAAGAGGTATTTAGAAAGTTTAAAGATTGAAGGATAACGGTACACCAAGTTTTGAGGAACCAAGAATTTTTTTTCTGATCGGTTTAAGAAAAAGATTGGATTTAATTTTAATTTGATTTGAATGGCACTAAGACTACAAAAACCCCCCAAAAAAATCATTATCAGTTTAAAGTTTATTTTTTTTTTGAGAAATCGTGTGGCATGATGAAAAACCCGATTATTTACTTACCTATCACATCCCTGACCAAACAAATCTTGATCAACTTCTACTTCCCAACCCAACACTTCTCTCACCCCCTCAGTAACCCATTCCAAAAGGTTTTCAAACCCAACCACCCCATTCTCATCCTCACCAATGCTCTTCTCCAAAGAACCATTTAAAAGTTGATGATAAATCTCTTCGATTTGTTGGGAAAACATCTCGAGTGTTTTCACACGTGAAACTTGTCCTTTGTTCGTTTTCGGTAATGGTTGATGTCTTGGATCTGTTATTAGGATTAATTCTTTGATTAGACGACTATGACTTGGAGCGAATCTATTGACTTCTTCTATTGAAGACCTATTCATCCAAACCAAACCCCAACAAAAAAAAAGAAAATCAGTTATGATCTAAATCTTCTGTGTGTGAAATAGGTGAAAAGAAGAAGTTCTTACCAAATTAAATCGATATAATTCTTGACTTCTTGAGGGTTTTTTGGATTGATTAAATACCCATCTTCAGGTTCGATAATCACGCCGTTCTGAGGTTTACCTCTACCAAAGAAAAGTGAACCTTTAATAGCTGGATGAAAGCCCAAGATCGCTTCCAAAGGTCCCCTAGAGTTAAAGCCCCCCAAAAAAATCAACAAGTAAGCAAAAGTAAAGAGAAAACGAAAAGATGTCTTTTAAGTAAGAATTCTTGAATGAATAACTTTTTTTGGAAGACTTACGGATTAGTTTTTTCCGAGTTTGATAAGATGATTTGATCATCTAATCTACCTACGATTCTATACAATTCAAGAAACGGATGTTTTGATAATAAATCATTTGTATGATAAACTTGATGATCAAGATTCTTATCAACATGATCTAAAGAACATCTATGAAATTCAGAAGACTATATATATATATAAAAAGAAACAAGTTTGATTAGGAAAACTTGAGGATCATAAATAAAAAAGTTTGAAGTGAAAGGAGCATAAGACTTAACTAAGATTACTAATTCGTATAAATCATCATGTGGGATTAGTTTATAGGTAAGTTGATTTGAAATTTCAAAGTATTCCCAATGATCTCCAAACGGATGTTCAGGAAACAAAGTAGCAATTATTCCCACTTCAGTTCTATAAACTCAACCAAATCAAAAATCTTTAGTCTGAATTCATTTTAAGAAAAAGGTTTGATTGTATGAAAATTTTAAAGAAATCTGTAACGTACGATCCATACATGGCAGATAATTGAACTCCTTCATTGACCAATTTATTACCGATTTCAACAGTCAATGGACCACCACCGAATCCCACTCTTTCAAGAGTTTTAAGAAATTCAACACTAGATTGATCATTCGAAAATTCCTAACCAATCCAAAACCCCAAAACCCATCAACAATCATTCCCCTTTATTTAATCTCATCTAAAGTTTTTCCCAAAATAAAGAAAAAGACGTACAGCTAACATCATAGGACTAAAAGCACCAACCGTACAGCCCAAGTTCTTCATAGCAAGCAAAACGTTCCAAGAATTAGGACTTTTGACCAAATACTCACCATGTGAATCGATTTCAGGACCAAAGAAACCCGAAATAGCTCCATCAGCCAAAACAGTAATCAAACCAAAATGGATTCCCATAGCATGAAAGGCAGGTAAGACCATTGAAGCTAAGATTTGAGATTTCCAAATGAACTTGGTCGATTGACTTGCGTTTATCCAGGATTGAAAACTGGGTTGGGTTAGGTAAATTGGTTTGGGAAAAGAAGTCGTGCCTGATGAATGTAAGATCATCAGAGTTGCATAACTTGGTTTTGGTTTGGTTGGAGTAGGTAAGAATGAGAAATCGGTGGAAAGGTTTGGGTTGGGTATGTAGGGTTCATGGGTCAATAAACGAGGAAAAAGTTGGAATGCGGTTGGAAACTGTTTTAGTTTAAGATTTGAAGAAGAAGAAGGTAAAGAGTTTAAAACTTCTTGAAGTTGATCATGATGGAATCTTTCGTTTGGTGAGAGGTTTGTAGGGTCTTGATTCGGATTAAATTGTACATATAATGTTTTACAATTAGTAGACTTGATTAGATGAACAATAGCAGTGACAGAATTTCTAGGAGAAATTGCAAAAGGCTATAGTATTAAACCAAAGAAAAATATATCAGTGAGTTTTTGTTGGTTTGTGATGAAGTTTTATAGGAAAGGGTGATGTTTCTTTGACTTACTACACAACCTGATCTCATAATAGCCAATAACATTGTAAAATAAACCAATGGATCACTAGAAGCTAAAATCCCAACCACATTCTCTTGATCTCCATCACCATCGATTCCTATTAAATCTTGATTAACTTTAAGAATCGCATCACCAATTTCATTCCAAGTGATCATTTCATTTTGGAAACCATGTTTATTTTTATTATGATTTGGATTTGAAAGAATTCCAAATGGATAATTCGAGTTATGTTTTATATGAAAATCAATTAAATTAATGGGATTTAAATCAACTGAACCGATTGGAGGAGTATTAAATAATGGTAAGTTATTTTTGAAATCGTTAGAAGCGGAAGACATTTTTAAAAGTATTAAAGGATAAGGATTCTTTTTTTGTAGATCAGATGTTTAAAATGTTTTGATCAGGCTTCAAAATTAGATCACGATAGTTTTGTATAGCAATGAATTCTAAACAGGAGTTGATCTCAATATGAATGTGAAGGATAGATAGGTATGTTCAACCTCAACTCGATAGAAGTCTCCCTTTTATAGTGAAAGAAGATGCATTCCAAGTTAAGATTCATGAAACTTGATCCTGTGCTCATTAGATAAATGAAACAAACTAGACTTCGAATTTGAAGAAGAAGAACTCTTGAAGTTTAAAACCAGCATGTACATACTAACATTTCCTGTTCACCTTTCAAAGTTGATTCTTTTTTCTTCATTTTCACATGTTAGATTGATGAGCATTACTGTGTTAAGACTCAGTTTATTAACATCAATCTAAATCTCGAGACAGGAATCGATTAAAAGATATAAGCTAAAGAGGATGAAGGAGAACATTGCTGTGAGAGTGAGAAAGAGAAAGCTTTGAGATCGGTTTGAAATAAATTGAAGCTGTGGATTGGAGTGGTAAGTGAGCACAGTAAAGATTATTTATCCGATTCCAAGTGTTTTAAAATCTTTTTCATCTTGAGTGTCTACACAGTATGAGTGAGGAAATCCTATCCATCACCCATAATCACTCACTCATCATGGATTACTCTTTCTCTTACTATTACCTGTTACTATTACTATTAGGCTTTCACCGGATTTCCAGAAACCGATCGATTCCTACAACTCTCATCTATGGTTTGTTTCTTTCGATCGTATGTAAGTCATATCGAAAAACATTCATTCCATAGCTGTGACAATAAGTCAAGATCACTAAAAAAAACTAATTTCAGATCCTGGAGTATCAGCACTCAGAGAAGACCTCGTTACGGATCGAGATGAGAAGTAGTCATTGGAAGCATTCTTTATGATAAGCAGTAACAGAACTGTGTATGTACAAATCTTTTCACATTGCTGCAGGATTGTATCGGATGTCAATGATCTATGTATGTAAGATCTTGGGTCAAAGAAGCTTTCATATGAGACGTTTTCTCGAAGATGAGAAATCAAAAGAAAAAATGCGAGATCAGAATCCTTGAAGAAATTTTAAGGTTAATCGAAAAGGTTTTCATTCTAATCAAAATCATTGCATTCACTTCAAAAGATTTGTAAACCCAAATTAGTTAGCTTAACACAAGCCCTCTCTGCGCGGCCACGTCCGCGCGCCTCGCAGAGGGGCTTGCGACTAATCGTGGATTCCTGGCACGGAGACTCCACCGGTTAAGTCCTCTTATGTAGTTTTTTGATTTTTCCCACTTTCCTCACAGACAAACGCAACTTTACCTTCGTGGCCGCGCAGAGAGGGCTTGTGTTAAGCTAACCAAATTAGTAACCAGTCGGGCAGTAGTGGGACTGCGTTTGAGTGGTTTCAAATCGATTCCGGATGAGATTGTACAGTATGGAAACACTTTGTGGAGGCGCGGACGCAGCCGCGCGAGAGGTGCTTAGTTAAGCTTAAGAACACTTTGTATGTCACTTCATCATTCAGTCTTTACCATTCGGATGATTCCAGATTTACAAACCGATTGGAAACCTGTTCTTTTACGAATTAAAGTTCTCGATCATCTTCATAATCCGAAACTTGATCCACAAGAATCCAAACTTTACGTCAAGCAAACGCGAACGAAAAAGTCAAAGGAATTCATCATGTAAGGTCCTCGTCTCTCTACGATTCGAAACTTGGTCATGTTCATACACTGAAGGCGGTCATGATTCGTAATTTGTGGAAGGCGATGCGAGCAAATTGACGTATCGTGTTCCAGGACCTGATGAACGGGAAGAGTCGGACGCACATCTACTTTCATGATTCAAATCTCAAAAAGCGATAGGAGAGAACGGAGCATCGTGTTCCAGGACCTGATGACCGGCAAGAGCCGAACGCACATCGACTCTCATGGTTCGAATCTGCAGAAGGCGATATGAGCTCTCAGCAAACGAATAATCGTGTTCCAGAAACTGATGACCGGCAAGAGCCGGACGCACATCTACTTTCATGATTCAAATCTCAAAAAGCGATAGGAGAAAACGGAGCATCGTGTTCCAGGACCTGATGACCGGCAAGAGCCGGGAGCACATCGACTTTCACGATCCAAATCTGCAAAAGGCGATGCGAGCAAACGGAGCAACGTGTTCCAGGACCTGATGAACGGGAAGAGCCGAACGCACATCGACTCTCATGATCCAAATCTGCAGAAGGCGATACGAGCACTCAGCAGACTGAGAATCGTGTTCCAGAACCTGATGAACGGAAAGAGTTCGACTCTCATGATTCGAATCTGCGATACGATCAAACAGAGCATCGTGTTCCAGAAGCTGATGACCGGGAAAAGTCAGACGCACATCTACTTTCATGATCTGAATCTGCAAAAAGCGATGCAAGCAAACGGAGCATCATGTTCCAAGACCTGATGAACGGAAAGAGCCAGACGCACATCGACTCAGGCGGTCATCAATGGATATAAAAAGCGGTCTACTTTGATAATGATTTGTTCGTCATCCAATCATCTTAACAAGTGCTTTTTCTAACCTACTCAGGGTATGTTTTCCGCCACTTTTCATCAGCCAATTGTAGAGATATCGTTTCTAAACAAACTGAGTTCATATTTTGTTGGTACCTTTCTTTACCCTTTTGATAGGTTTAAATACTATTGCACTGAAGTTGATACAACCCACACCCACAATTTTTCAAATTCCATTGAATTAACATCCTGGTGAGTTTTGAGATAATCTTTATCACCTAGTCTTTACATTATAAACTAAAACTTGATCACCCAATTAGAAATTTCATCATGAATCTCAGCATCATCACCACCATCTTGGTGATCTTTGTATCAGTTAATCAATCTTTTGGTGCCATGATCAATAACATCAAGAACGAAAAAGAAATCATGTCAGTTCAAGATGAGTTAGCCAAACCCATTGATGACACCATACTCAACGCTATGGAGAAAAAATGTCACTGGTGTGACAATTCTACTGGCACATGCTTGTGTGGACCCCCTCCTTGGCCTTAAATTCTTTACCACTACATGTGTGGTGTGAAAGTGCACGTCAAAGGACTTTGTGGTTTTTTGTGACATCCAGTGATCAATTATCTTTTGAAAACAATCATCTTGTTGTCTAGTGATCAGAAGGCAGAAGCTAGATTGTTTGTTTGTTCTACTGTGTTCTCAAGTATCAATTTACCATATATCCTTTCCCCAAGCTATCTATAAGATCCACACAAATGTACACAACGGTCTTTAGCACCCAATAGATGAGTTTACCATGTTCAAATCCTTGGACTGTTGAGAAAACGCGAGACATGATTCTGAGAAACAAGTTTGATTTCTTTTCTTGAACTTGCTTTTGATGTGGATGCAAATGGGAACAATAGATCAATATGTATCACACACCCTCACCTGCACGTGATTCTACAAATTCCATTGATTTATGTTTCTTGTGAGTCTCAAGGAATTCAATGAAGTGAAATATCAAAAGGTTTTATATACCAGACCTTGGTGGGATGGAACATCTAGATATGAAGTTTGTCATGAGTCTTATAACCACCATATTCAGACGTTGTATTTCTAAAGTCCAGTTCCAAGGATGAAATTAGTTGAAATCAATAGACCTGATCACACTGATCAAGCCACAATCGATTCAATCATGGCACTATGTAAAAGGATGGGAAAAGCACCTGTGAAGTGTTTATACACACCAGGGTAAGTGTCAAAACAGACTTCAAGAAAAAAACACTCTTAAAAAAAACAAAGATAGACTAACTCTTTAGTTGGTGTTCTTAGATTCATTGTGGATAGACCTTGATTACCCTATTTATTAGAAGCAATGAGAATGAATGAAAGAAGAGAAGCCACAATCAAAGAGATAGATACAGCTATGAAATTAGGAGCAGGTTATCCAATGGGACCATTCGAATTATCAGATTATGTTGGACTTGATACCATCCAACAAATCTTAGATGGTTGGCGTGAAACTGATGAAGAACAAATCAACCAAGAAATTTTAAAACCTTTGAAAAGTTTAAATGATTTAGTTTTGCAAGGTACACTTGGTAGAAAAATCGATGAAGGGTTTAAAAAGTATTGATATTTTTTTACATTCTTTATGAATTTTTAATCACAGACTTTCATCAGTTCACTTAAGTTGGGTTTTATGTGATGTTGGTTTAGCATATTTTATTTTATATCTGGACAATTATCTGTTTTCCTGTTTAGGCTTGATGTATGATACAAGACTGGTAAATTACAAATCAAATGTGAAAGGTCTACATAATTAGCTTAGGTATCAATGTCATCTTTGTCTGTTTTCAACCTCAATGTGATCTTTGTTCATCTTGATGGTCAGTTCATCATATAATCTATATGTCAAGTCAACATACTATCATAGTGAAAAAGGTTTTGAAGATATTTGGTTGAGTGCAAAGAAGGGATACGATGGGGATGGTCAGCTGGGGAAAGGTGGTGACCGTGTAGAGCCAAATTCAAGCTTGATTTCATTGACAGAGTTGTAGAGTAGAATATTTACTTTCTTTGGCTTGTCTGCTCTGACTCCCACCCACTTAAAACATCATGGGGATGAGATGGGTTTTAGCATAGGTGAGTCTTATTTTGTTTTCTAGGAACCTCAATCGCCGATCAGTTTAGTTGTATGGAGGATGAAGCTCAATGAAACTTGTCAAACTCACTTCTTTCGAGATGCAAGGACCATTAAGGTGGTTTTTTGAAACTACCTCACTGCTGCAGTGGAGGTGATCACGCCACGAGTACCTGACCAACGGAAATCGGGTCTCAAATTAGTGCCGGGTACCTGTGAATACGGCATGCGGTGTTCTCTTTTCGAAGACAGGCTTTATTTTAAATCCCTGCCGACTCCCCACAAGAAGTGGACGCTCGCAAGGATCGATAGTCGTACAAGATGAACTCAGGATCTCGAGATCGATTTCGATTGCATACATTTAGGTGTTCTCAAATAGTCTTATAATCGTCGGCCTCGTTTACACCCAGTTCAGCATTAAAAAAGATGGATCGCGAGACAAGGGCCCATCTCTCGAGACTGTAGCTCTCTCAGTGTCCAATTCAAAGATAAAGCCATACCACATACTTGGACAAAAGCCTCGTATTAAGCAAATTTCAAGCAAATGGGACCTCATGGTGTCTGCTTAGATCGATGGACACGCATCCCCGTTGTCAAGAATGTAACCGATTTAACCTACAGCTTGTCATTTAAACGGCGACCTTTCTGGAAAATGAAAGGTGTAGCTTGTTTCTAGGTGAATCGACGGAGACAATGTTCTTAGAGGCATACCCCGCTATCGAACAAGAACCAAGCACGTCAATCTTGACTACGTTTCCTTGCTCCGATGGAAGATACCTATCATGTTACTTGCAATGTCACGGTAGAGATCTTACTCGATTCTCCGCATAATTGTGCCATGAAAATCCTTCAAACGAGGCAAAGATAACAATCTTGGGCCGTTGGAGTGACCAGACAATGCAGCTTTCGCCGTCAAAATGTGGACTGTGATTGTGGTGTCCAAAGAAATTTGTTGTCGATCGGCTTGATTTCAAATTTTCTTGTCATGTCCGTTTATTTGACTTGGCTTCCTTTTTGCAAGTTTTTACTTGTACTTGTATTTTTTAACCTCTTGAGCACTGTATTCACTAGCTAGGCCCTCGAAATCATAGTTGGTCTTGTCTTGGAGAGACGATATGGCATTAGTTTGTGTGATATAATCAAGTTTTCTACGATACGAAATGAGACAATTACAAATTTTCTTTGTTGCTCTCGTGCTACTAGTCTGATTCTGGCTCCGTAACATCAGACATCTTTCAGATTTTGAGTCAGCGTGAGATGGATAGACGTGCCATCGCTTTACATAGACCCTATGCCGTGACCGAAATCTTGATAATTTGAACGATTGCCCTAAGTTTGATCCGACTTGATGATTCACAAGAAATGCGCGGTTGATCAGAGAAGGTCAAGACAAAGAGCTCGTTAGATGCTCCACGTCTTTGGAGAGCTGAACCAAGGAATGCATTGAAGCTCGCCCTCATGGGCATGCAAAAGTCCTCCACGACCGGAGGCACAATCACCTAAAACCCCAATACGCCATCGGTGGTATCATAACGTTATGATCCCGAAGAGTTATTGAATGAGCATGGGTTTCTACAGTGGATGTTTTTTGTGTCAAAGAAAGTGCTCGAGATCTACAAAGACAATGATTTCGGCTCTTCCAAAATGCCTATTGATACATCTTTTGAGTAGGTATCCTTATCAGCCACAGACAGGCTGATGATCGAATTCTGTAATGCGCGTTTTGTAATTCTTCAACAAAAACCTGAGAAGGTACCTTACCATGATCTTGAGGAGAGTTATCTAGACATGGAGTTTGGACGTGTGTCAGGAGAAATTCGCGTGTCATGTTTCCATCCGGTATGAGAACTTTGTGCCAATCGACTGCTGTGATCACAAATGTAGCAATAAGTTGTGTTTAATCCTTCTGATGATCCTCTGCGGAGTTCAAATGCATCAATTAGCATGATTTCTACCAGATTCACAGAGAATCAAGATAGAAACGCCTTTCATTCGTGCCCAGAGAACAAAATGCTATAGCTGTAGGGAATCTTTCATATTTATGAGCAATTCTAGATAGTGCCTTGAAACTGCATGTGACACCTCTGGGGCCCCTTTGATCATTACCTGAGTACAATACAAACACGGCCATGATTGATAATGCTTGTACGTTTCGTACATATAGCGATGGCCACGCCTTTGATGCGTGTTCAGAAAGAGAACACAAAACGCGAAAGCCATAGTGGAGCGTTCATATATCTATTAGCATTTCGAGGAAATGCAAATTGACATGAACCTGATGGTGACATCTCCTGGGTCCCTTTCAACATTAACTGAGGAAGATAGAAACACGGCTATGATCAATAATGGTTGTGCATTTTGCGCATTTAGCAAACACGTACTTCGCATTTCTGACTGTATTTTCGAGCTGATCGTCCTGTAATGAGGATCAGCAATTCCCGTGACCAGGACTTCTAAACATTGTCCAGTCACCTTTACGTTTCCTATATACCTCAACAACATCTTTACTCCGACTTTTCCAACCTAATCACCCTTTCTCTTTATCTCATACTCTTATCTACTCAACACCATCTCTCATACATCATGAGCATCGATTCTTCTGTTAGTTTCGGCGTCTATAATACCCCTCCATCAGTATCAGATACCGCTTCTCTAGATCCTCGAGATAGATCATTAAACGAAGGAATTCTAGTAACTGAAAATTATCTCATCTTGGATTTACTCGGCTCTGGGGGGTTTGCTTCAGTTCACAAGGCTGAATCCAAGCAAGATCAAGATGTTTATGCAATGAAGGTCATCTCACGTTATCATCAAAAATACGGTCCTCAAGATGAAATGATTATGAATGAAATTGATTTACTCAAAGATCTTCAACATCCTTCAATCATTAGGTATTATGAACACTATCGCACAGATTCACATTATCATCTTATTCTTGAATTAGCAGCTGGTGGAGATCTTAGAAAGAAACTTCCTTGTTCAGAAGAAGAATCAAAGATTTATGTTATGAATTTAGCTAAAGCAATCGGATACCTTCATCAAAACAACATCATTCATCGCGACCTTAAACCTGATAACGTCCTCCTCACTTCTGACAATCAAATCAAACTGGCAGACTTTGGACTTGCTACGAGGACTAAGTCTGGATCAGCTACTGGTAATTGTGGAACGCCTTATGCACGAGCACCGGAAGTGATTAATGGAGGATCTTATACAACATCGATTGATTGGTGGGGTCTTGGAATTATTTTATACGAAATGGTGATGAACAAACAACCTTTTATGTCAGGTATGTTGTTTATTCCTCAAATTCTTCTTCATTTAAGCCTTACAGTAGCTAATATATCCTTTTGTATTCTAACAGACACTGTTGACGGACTAAATGATCAAATTAGAAATGCGGAAGTCGAGTTTTCATCATCCGCTTCTCCTCAGTTCTGTTCACTTGTTAGTTTGTTGTTGAAGAAGGATCCTAGGGAGCGATTGGATTGTATAGAAAAAGTTTTGGAGCAGGAGTTCTTTAGTGATATGGTCTTTAGTCATCGTATGGGTTTTGATTGATGTTATTCGGAATGGACAGTCTCATTTTTTGTAATCTAAGGTATGTTATTTTTTCCTTTTTTTCCTTTTCCTTTTGCTCTTGAACTTTATATTATCTTCACGTCAGGCCACTGACGTTCCTTCTTCTTTTACGTCCACTCTTACTAGGTTCTCATATTTTTGGGCTTGTTGGTCGGCGTTTTTTCACTTTTGAGATTCTTGGCTTCTTGCATGGATAACAATATACATACCTCCACAATACATAACCATGTCGTGTTTATAATGTCCATAAGTCAATACGGTTCAATGCATATCTAGTGTAATTTCAGAAGGAAGCCTTTAAGAAATTGCGCGCCTGACTGAGTGTTCAGCTTGCCTTTCTCTCCAAAAGATTCTCTCGATTCTACCATGTGTATCTTTGATTCATAAAACCTGTAAGCGCCCTGAATAAAACTCGCTTTCTGCCGCACATGAAACTCATTTAGCTTTGAAATAAAATTTCTGAAGTTGAAAGATTGAAATGACTCGATATGTACAACACATATCCCTTCACCAACTCTATTTTTTCTGAAAAATATTTAACTCAGAAACATCATGGAAATCATGTTATGGAAAATGGTAAAGAAAAGCTTTCCTTTTCTTTTAAGATCAAATTTCACAATCCCATAATTCATACTAATTTTTTTAATAAATAATAAGACAAAGCAAATCATACACTGGTTTAAGGTTTCTAGCTTTTTAGTATTAAAGATTTTGAAAACTTCATAATAAGTATTGAAATGAATATCTGATGATTGTTTCTTTTGACAAAACTTTCAAAAAAACATGTAAGATAAAGATCCAACCAAAAAAGATCTTCCAAAAATATATTAACCCAAAAGAGCCCCAGATAAGAAAGAGAAAAACAAGTGAGGATCCCTTAAAAACCATCAAAAGAAAGAAACCATATGACCATCTTCAGGAAAAAGTAACAACAAGACAAACATTTTGAGAAAAGAAACTTAAAAAAACCATAATCTTTTAACTTATTATGAGTTTGTGATCAACACAACAGTTTCAAAAAATGTATCCCTGACCCTTCAATCATCTTAAATGAACCACTTTTGTTCTCGTAATCATAAACCAACATCTTCAGCACATAAGAAAATCAAGAATATCATTACAGAAAAAGTAAAGTCAAGAAAAGATCTTTGGACCATTTCCAAAAAAAATAAGAAGTGATGTGAAAATCTTAAAATTCTTTAGACCTAGTCCCCTAGGAGCAGTAACCAATAAAGTCAAACCAATTGATGACTTCTCTTTCTCAAAGAATAACCCCAAGATTCCAAGTATGAATTAAGATTTGTAGAAAAAGAAGACTTAAGATATGACAACTTTTCCAAAGTAGAAACCTTCAGATCAGTTTCTTTTAATAACCTTATTTGACCAAGAAAACACCTACAGTCAGATCCCAACAAGACAAAACTTAGTGGTAATACATACCTCATCTTTGTGCAATTTTAATGGTCATACTTTCATACCTTTTGGCTGTGTTGCGAGATATGGAAGTTGTAGCACTGTGTTTTGCATAAAGTGTTCAACTCTTGCCTACCAGTTGCTGTACTTACTCTTGAAGAAAAATCAGGTAAACATAATCAATCAGTGAAACAATTCAAATACACTTGAAATTCATTTACCTTAATATCTAATAGCCTCCAAGAGACCCAAGGGTTGGGCAAGTCCAGGTGTATTCTATCACACCAAGAAGTTTTGGTTCATGTTGGATTTCTGAAAAGGGTTTCAAAAACATGATGAATTGATGCATGAAGTAGAGAAGTTACCTGGTTGCCCAACAACAATGCTTTATGAGTAGACTCCCATATTTCTTTTCAAGCTCTCGTGAATAGGCTCAAATAAGTCTTGAACATCATGTACATTCTCATACATGTAAGTATGTAATCATCACCAGAAGTTTCCCACAGTTATGGTCTTTTTTGCTCTTATGATCAATTCAGGGTGTGCCATGGTTGATTGTCTAGATCTTGGATCGTTCCAAGACCTGGCAATACACCGGGGCAGGATCGTAGCCTGTAGCAGGTAAGGTCAACCTGTAGTTCATCAATAGATAATTTACTCAAGATTCATGCACCTCAAGTTCAAAAGCACAACTTCAAAAAACCTGAATGATCCAAAAAACTTTCACCGTGATGAAAGAACATCCTTCTTGGCACCTTTTGTTGACTTGTCACTTTGTCCACAAGAACCTCTTGCAAACAATGCAAAAAAATGCAAAAAAACTTATATTTATATAAAAATATATTTCAACTTTCAAAAAGAAACAAAAAAAAAAGTATATATATATATATAAGCATTTATAAACCCTTCATTCACAAAAAGAAAAAAAATTAATTAATATTACACACACACACAGAAAAAAAAAACTCTACTATTTTTTTTTTCATTCATAGAATTGGTATATATGATTTTTTGTGGGTTTTTTTTTCTACTTCTTCTTCTTCTTCTACTACTACTTATTAAAAAATGAAAAGATTATAAAGTTCAAGTCAAAGGATAAAAAAAAGGTATATATAGACTATGTAGAACTTGTCAAGGAAAAAGAAAAAGAAGAAGGGAAAGGAAAAGGAAAAGGAAAGGGAACAAGGAAAGGAAAGATGTATATACAAAATTCAAAAAAAAATTAAAAGTGTAAAAAAGAAAAAGAAAAGTCAATTTTTTGGATATATAGATATATATAAAGTATTAACACATAATCTCAAACAAAGAAGAAAAAAGAAAAAAAAAGAAAATCCAGTTTGTTTAAAAAAAAAACACAACAACAGAACAAAAGACAAAACAAATCTAAAAAAAAAAACTAAAACTTCCAAATGATTCTCAAACTTTAAATTCAAATCCCACCGAATTCGAAACCGAAGTAGAAAGTTCAGTAGGAGAAGAAGAAGTCGAACGATTAGGATGACTAAAGGGAGTCAAAAGACACGAAGATTTATCTGAAAGAGCCGAAGCAGGACGATCGATTGATGAAAACCTTTGATGATTGGCAGTAGTAGCAGCAGAAGGAATCGATCCATGATGATGTAGATGACTTAAATTAAACTGACTAAGTGAAGCTGATTGATGGTGTTTACTCATCACGGGAGCTGATCTTAGTAAGTTCTTGGACGTAGAACTCGTATTTACTGGTCTAAGTCTTTCTAGTCTAGCTTTGATGTTTTCGTTAGGTTTGGTGGTTGGTGTGGTTGGAATGTTACTTTCGATGTTTAGGCCAGAGGTTCTTTGTTGTAATCTGGAAATTGAGGGTTCGTTCTTGCTCGGGGATTCTACTTGGGGTGATCGGTTTCCTGGCTCATTCGAATTGTTGGTGTGTAGGAAACAACATCGTTTTCCATATGGACATGATCCATGTAAACAGAATGTCTGGGAAACAGAAATTTAAATTAATTCATCATGATGTGAAAAAGTAAAAAGTAGAAGAAACTTACTCGACAAATCTCGGTTTTGAACTTTGGATGACGACTAACAGGTCTTAATTCATCTTGACCATGAGCTAAAAAACAATTACCAAAAATAAATAAAACGAAACACACAAACAGAAATTGTAAAAGCACATACCGAATTGACACTTTGTAGAATATCTACAAGTTCCTTTTTCTTCCCAACTACGACAAAGTTCAGTTTTATAAAGATTAGTTTTCTTATTACTCAAAGCCGGACCAAGTGAAAGATGTTGATGATCTTCATGTAATGATCTCAACTTGACTAATTTCTGAATCGCATTAGTTAAAGTAGGTTGATTTGAAATCGATTCAGGACTCAAGCCTGGAAAGATTGAAGATAAGATCGGTAATGGTTGACCTGTGTAGGCCATGGTGATCGCGGCTTGTTGAAGGGATTGGATATCGATGATTTGTTTTTCTAGAAAGCCATTTGGGTGGTTGTACCCTTTGTGATTAAAAGCATTGGCTTCTCTTGTGAGATCTTGTTCGGCTAATTCGATTTCGGCTTGTAAGTTTTTAATCTTTTGTGCTGATGCTGGTGGTTGTGAAACTGATTCAGTTGATGGGAATCTAGTTTGGTTGGGTAAAATAGTCAATGACAAATAAGGATTTAATCCTAAACTACTTGGATTGAATTGATAGCTATCTAAAACTGATGGTAATCTTGAAAGAGATGGAGTCGAATCAGTTGATTGAGTAGATTGATGTGAAGCCGATCTCGAATGACCTAAATGATTTAAACTTCTTAATTGTTCTTGTTGAAGTCTAGAATAGGTTTGTAATAATTGATGTTGTAGGGTAAGTTGATGTGCTTGCCAAGCCTGTAGGTTCATCTGATCAAACGAATCAGTTGGATGATGATGGAAACCTGTTTTAAGGTTGGTTGAGGAATGGCTCGTAGGATGAGCTGATTGGGTTGATAACCATGGGTTTCTAGGCTCGAATTCATTTTCTTTGATCATAGATTCTTTGGAGATTGGAGTTGAGAATGTACGAATCGGTAACTTGTGTTGACGATGATCAGATTTGAACTTGGAATCCAGTTGAGTTGGAGTAGGTTCACCTCTGGATGAAGTAGTCGATGATGAATCGGTTTCAGTTGAAAGACTACTCAAGTTAGTATGAAGACTTGAATCTGAATGATGACTATAACGTTTTGGTTTACTAGCAACACGTTGTTGTTGATGATGATGAGTCAAAGCAGTCGGAGTAGTAGCATTACTGATCTTACTATCATCGTTGTTGTCATCTAGAATGTTTAACATTGATAAATCAAATGCAACTGAATCTGAAATAGATTTCTGATGTCTGGTTGGATTCACAGGACTGGTAGGACCAGAGTGAGATTTGTTAAGGATTGGAGATCGTGACTGTTGTTGATTTTGAAGAAAAAGTAAAATCGAATGAACGAAAAGAAAAAAAAAGAAAAGGTAATTTTCAATTAGAATATTATATTTCTTGGAATTGATAGATTGAATGAGAAGAATGTGAATGGTCAAGAAGGGTAAACTAGTTTGAATCGTCTTTGGTAATCAGAAACAAGTTTGAAGTGACCTTCACTGTTTGTTTTTTTTTGAATTGATGATGATGAGGAAGTGAATGAAGAAAAAGATAAAAACAGATGAAACCAAAAAGTGATGAAAGACACTAACCTGAGCTGGTGAATGCATTGATGGTTATTTTTAAAGTTTATATAAGTTTTTAAAGGAAACTTTTGAAGATTAAAGGAGAGATACGAAGCAAAAGAAGAAGATCAAAAGGTTTGATTAGTTCCGATTCTCTAGACTTTAAATGGTATGCTACGGTAGAATTCAAACACAGTTGACATTGACAGTTCTTGATGGATCAAGTGAACTCACAATTTGATAAAAATAAAGAAATCTTATTAGTATGTCTATCCTATTCTAAAGAAACTCATTCAACTGTCAGTCAGTCAATTCATAATAAAATCACATCACCTATCATTCAAAACTCACCAAATCAAATCAAATCAAATCAAATCAAATCAAATCAAATCAAATAACGATTCTCTAAAATCCCTTCACTTGAATCGACCAAAAAAAAAGAAAAGGATGGGTAAAAAAAACTAAGAAGAAGGAATACTCTAAATATAAACGATGTGAATCTCAAGCTTGTGTAGAATTAAACTAAAACAAAAAAGATAATCAGAACTAAAACTAGAACCGATTCAAAACAAGAACAAAAAAACAGATCACTAGATGATTGTAAGTTTGATGGTGTTGGTCCGATTGATATGAAGGGTAAGAGTTTTCACTCTGATATATTTACTTATAAAAGGTTTATTGGGATAAAGAAGAATTAAAAATCGAAAAAAAAAAAAATCAAAGAAAAAAGAATATAATTGTATACAGATAATGAAAATAGAATGACTATATATTTTTGGGTAATAAAGAAAAAAAAGTAAAAAAGGATTATATATATATATGTGTGTATTGGGGAAATAGAAGGATGAAGGATAAGAAGGTATGGTAGGAAGATCGAAGAGGAGGAGGGTTTATAAACCAAATTTTCCGATTGGTTCAATGAGAACTTCTGAACACTTCAGGGAAAACTAAAGAGGTTGTTTTGGGTATGAGCGTGTGTAAGTGTGTGAGCGTGTAGTGAATCTTTCGTTCTTCTTCGATTTTGTTGTTAAGACCAAGTAACTGAAGAATGTTTTTGTTAATAAAATCTAGATATAGCAAAAAAAAATAATTCGAGGGTTTCTTTAGGTGGATGAAGTTTTGGTGGGTTGTGAAATTAAAAAAATGTTGACTATCAAGGCGAAGAGAACAAAGAAGAAGGAGTGATGAGAATGAAGGCTTTTTCTTAAATCATCATCGACGTACGAAAAGCAAGAAAAAAAAAATTAATTCACAATTTCACAATTTTCGATGCTACAGACACCAATAGAATTGGTTACCAAGTCTCCAGGTAAACGAGAAGGAAGGGTAAGTAGGTAGGTAGGTAACCTTCTTCTTCGCTTTCTTCTTCTGATGATTTCTTTGGTCTCTTTGCTCTAAGAAACGTGGTAAAAACGTGTTGTTGTTTTTCTCCAAGGAAGCTTAATTTAGTTTAGTTTTAATTCACTTGGGAACGAAGGAAATCCTGTGGTGGGTTGTTGAGGGTTTTTTTAGTATCAGTAACTGAGCAGGCTTCGATTTTTATATAAATCCACAACTACCAATCAAATCAAATCTCAACATCTTTCCTCTAAAAAAGCCTTTTAAGTTGTTTGGTCGCTAGTGTAGTTGATAGTTGGTAGTTGGTAGTTGGTGGTCTTGGTTGAGTGGGTTATCGAATTGGGTTGGAAATCTTTCTACTTTCGTCGACGATTCTTGGGTTAATCCTGTCTCCATCGTCCTGCGTGATCCACAGTGCACTTAAAGCACTACGTAGGTAGCCTTTGGAATCGAGACTCTTGATGATTTAAAATGAACTTTTTTTTTCATCGACGTCGATTAAACTAATTTCATCACTCTCTCTCTCTTCACTCTCTCTCTCATTTCACATTTTCACATTCACACACCGTTTGTCAAACTTTTTACATCTCTCTCTCTCTCTTTCTTTCTCGGTGATTTGAAATTCATTTCATTTCATGACGCGTGCGTCTTCATGTTCAAAACTTTGTCTTTTGGTCGATATGTAATTTTCAATGGTTTTTTTGTTTGATACTTCTTGAAAAACGCCGACTGTATTTTTGAAGTTACTTGAGTTTTTTTAACCATTAGGTTGATAAGGTAAGGTAGTCAAGTTTGGTACACTTTGTCTTTTTTTCATCTAAAACCATTTGTTTAAGTTGATGTGTGTACATATCTATACTAAGGGGGCTCAAGTCGAAATTTTTGCGGCCTTTTCTTAAAAAATTGGGGAAAGTTTTTTACGGTACCGTGCTGTAAAAACTTTTCCCAATTCGTAAAAAAGGGCCATAAAAATTTCTTTCGGATCTCCTTCTGAGCAGCAGATTTACGCAAATTTGCGTAAATTTGCTGCTCAAAAAAATTTGGGATGTTGTATAACTTTTCCCAATTGCATAAAATTTTGCGTAAATTTTATGCAATTGGGAAAAGTTTTTTACCATAAAAGTAGTAAAATATTTTGACTTGAGCCCCCCTACTATCATTTCCGCTTTTTTTCTTTTACAACATAGCTCTTCTTTAAACCTTCTTGGTTTTGGTTTTTTGGTTTAAAACCTCACCTCTGTGTACTCTGTGTATGTACGGCCTTCAAAGCACTACAGTCAAAACTCTCTAAAGCCATACCACAACCCTTTTAATCCATACCTGTATGAGTTTCCATAAAAACCCTCTCAGAGCACCCGCACTCGTTTGTGGTACGTTTCGGTAACTTTTGTGGTACCGACCTGTACGGTAAGTCAAAATTTACTAATTATGTACAATTATCACACTCGTGTCCAGTATCTGCCATGTATCATTAGTTACTTCACATATACTGTACAAAACCCACAGTGGTGAAAAGTTTGTAAATTTGTAAACACAGAAGTAAGACTAGTAAATTTTGCGATTCAGAATGCCAGAAAGCACATTTTTCTCAAGACACCTCAAAAGAACAAGAGAATTTTTCAGGGAGGAGCTTGCACAGTGGAGTCAAGATTCAAGTTCAGATGATAATTCAGATCAAGACAATGAAAATGAATGACCAAAGAAAAAAATGGTACATAGGGATAGAGAAGCAGCAGATGCCCAACTTTTTGCCGACTACCTCTCCCCAAACCCAGCATATGACGAAGAGACTTTTCAACGAAGATTTCGAATGCCACGTGATATGTTTGTTGATATTTGCACTAAGCTAGTTCAGCATGATAGATACTGGGAACAAAGACGTGTGAGGTTTCAATTTTTTTTATCTTTCCAATATTCAAGTTTAAATATTCAAGTTTTTGATTAGGATTGCACGGGACGATTAGGCCTTTCAACAGAGCAGAAGGTCACTTCAGCTCTCCGCCAGCTTGCTTATGGTATACCTGCTGATGCTACAGACGAGTATCTGAAGTTGGGTGAAAGTACAGCTCTCAAAGCTTTGAAAAAGTTCTGCTCAGCAATAATTGAAATTTATGGCCCTGAATTTTTGAGACCTCCAACAAAGGAAGAGTTGGAAACCATCACGAAGGAATACGAGATACGAGGTTTCCCTGGTTGTAAAGGATCTATAGATGGGATGCATT